TGATCATTTGTTTTTGTTTCTAGAAATATCATGTATAAAAGTACATCTTTGGTTGCATTTTATTGATAAAAATCTATATTTCATCAAGGACGTATAACTAACATTCTAATATACGTCCTTGATTTCATAAAGACAAATATGCTATTTACATACGGGTTTATATTTGAATTTGAGACAGCTTGAAGGGGAGTCAGAAAACGACTTCCTAAATATCTTTTACTCCTTTTATCTATGACTATCAAGTTTTAAATGTTATCGAATATTTAGATTTTTATTATCTTCAACTAAGAAATTTGTTGGATATTGAATATCGAATAACGAATAACGAACCGGCCGCTAACTTCACATACATGTAAAAGCATGGGTTTAAAATAGTTTTTTTTACTGAAGTATTACTTACACTTTAATCGACAGAAAATAACCATATTCTTAATTATTGTTTTTTAATTTGGTTTTCTTTGTATTTCAACAAACCACCGACCTTGTTGTAAGATCGTATATGTTAAATCCTTCCTACCTTAAAATCCCCTGCCAAGGTATGGACATCAAAAAAGTTCAAAGCAATAATACAAAACAACAAAGGAAGTTAATAATGGAATTGCAGGCATGTACTTTCAAAGAAATATCACGAAAATAAAGGACAGACTTTTTTCATGTAATTTCTATCAGTTCAAATATTACATCCTTTCACAGACTGACACAAATTATATGCTATCATATTTCTTAAACCTTTCATAGGCTTTTAAAATAATGTTCCAATATATTTGCTGAAACCATTTGAAACTCTACAGTCTATTAGACCAACTGAAAAATACAATTATATATTGTCTAGCAGTGAAAATTAATTTCCAATAAAATAGTACCACAGTCCATACTTACTATCTTTTTCAGATGTAACAGCAGCAAAACTAATGCTGCACTATCAGAAAATGATATGACATTTCAGCTCAACAAATTCATAGTTTTTACTTTCATTTTTTATCAATTTAACTATCTTATGTATAAATATCACAACATTCCAATTTGCTCTTACTTATAGTTTAACAGTAATTACACCCCTGAGGTTTTAAAATTGCTTTTCATATATTGTACTCTTGCCATGAAAAACAAACAGCTTCATGCACATGAAAAACAAACAGCTTCATGCACATGAAAATAAAAGCAGTTTCAATAACAGATTATTATTCACAGCTTATTGACAAATGTTCCATCATAAATGAATATAATGAACATGAACTTGACAAATGAGATAATATTTCTATCATTTTTCATATCAAGTTTAATTTTATATCGATTTATTTTTCAATCAGCTTTCTTGTTTTATTCTTGTTTTATTCACCATTTTCATTCTTTACACTAACCATTTCAATGATGGCAATAAATAGATATAAGAAGAAGTGGTATGAGTTGCAATGAGACAACTCTCCATCCAAGTCAAAATTTATAAAAGTAAACCATTATAGGTCAAAGAACGGTCTTCAACACGGAGCCTTGGCTCACACCGAACAGCAAGCTATAAAGGGCCCCAAAAAGTACTAGTGTAAAACCATTCAAACGGGAAAACCAACGGTCTAATCTATATAAAAAACTAGAAACGAGAAACACATATGAACCACATCAACAAACAACTACTACTTAATATCAGAATCCTGACTTAGGACAGGTGCAAACAATTGCAGCAGGTTTAAACGTTTTAATGGTACCAAACCTTCACCCTTATCTGAAACAATAGTGTAACATCACAACATAGAAAAACACCCTATAAAATATCAATTGAAATGACTTAACTCAATCAAAAGACATATTAACACCAGTGAACATACACTGAACAAATAAATTTGATCTATGATACAAATTTTGTTTTCAATTAATATCAGTAACAGGATCTTTTCTGATCCCTTAATTGTCAATGCTAATAATCATTAATTACATCTGTAAATTACCACCTTTCAGTACATACATTTTATAAACTGTCACTGAGGGATCCCAAATTGTAAAGTGAACCAAAGGGAAACAAGCAATACACTTTAAACAAAAAAATCACCATGTAAAATTATCATAGTAAGCAGTAAAAAGAAACTTCAAAAATTTATCCAAGTGTGACTGGTGTATGGGAGCTACCATTTGATTTTTATGGGGGGGGGCTATGATGAAAAATTGTGTCCTGCATTTTTTTAGTTGTAAACTCGGTCCTGCCTTTTTATTTTTCACTTTATTCAGTCCTGCTTTTTTTTTTATTAGTTTATCCTGACACTGACATTTTATACATAATTTGTCATCCTGCCTTTTTTTTTTTGCCAAGTTACTCATCCTGCCCTTTTTTTTACTCAAAACTTCTGTCTTGCCTTTTTTTTCAAATTTCATCCTAGCCCCCCAACCCCTTGCCATAAAAATCAAATGGTAGCTCCCTAAAGACAGATGACAAAATACAGTCAATTTCCGAAACATAGGCCCATCATAACTTGCTGAGACTTTTACTTTATTTAAGGTTAAAATACACACAAAGATGTCAATATCTCATTTTTTATTTACTCATTTATTAAATCTTATATCATTAATCAGATTTTCCATTCTCTCTATTGAATAGTTTCATAGCATGTTTAAACTTTTATTTAGAGATTGTTTTATGGTTTCAGTACCTTTTCTTGAGTTGACCATTTATTGATTATACTGCCTCTTTATGTCAGGTTGATGTCTCGTTGACCTCTATTAAATGCCCATTATCTGGTGCTGATAGGATGAATGGTTCATTTTCAAAAGATGATATACTGTGAAAGTACTTTTATTGGTGGGTATCAGTTTCCGTGGTTTGAGCAAAAGTTATATGTAGATTGGTTCTTTTAAAATTCATTGATTTTTGTTTTCTGCTGAAAAAAATGAGTGAAGAATTTGAAGCCATCTGAAAGGAAGATTCTTGAAAATAATCATATGTTGTTTTATGATGATTTTGGGACATTGCAAAATAAGGTGCTCATTTTTACCTACCGGTACTTGTTTATCCTTCATTACTGACAACATTCATCAAATTTTCAATAAAATTATTGCTTTCGGAAATAAGCTGATTCATCTATGCTTACAAATTGTCTCCATTAAAGGAAATCGTAAAGTTAACATTTTAATTGTTGCACCCATGTTAATTGGACCAAAACATGTAACGGTTACATAAAACAGGCATTCTGTGAGTATTGCCTGGCAATACATAGTACCCTACCAGTTAAAAATTCATTATACTGGAACAAAATGCTAACTTGATCTATAACTTGTCATGGTGTAAACTATATAACAAATATCAAGTCAATATCTTCAAGCATGACAAAAAAAAATGTGGAAAATTTATTATTTGAGTGAATTTTCTAAGTCCAAGGACCATAACTCTGCACAGAATCATCAGACCGGAACAAAATTCGAACTTGATCTGTAACTTGTCATGATAAAACTATATGCCAATTATCAAATCAATATCCTCAAGCATGACGAAAAAAAAGTGAGGAAAACTGATTATTTGAGTGAATTTTCTAAGTTCAAGGACCATAACTCTGCACAAAATCATTAAACCAGAACAAAATTCGAACTTGATCTGTAACTTGTCATGATAAAACTCTATCCCAATCATCAAATCAATATCTTCAAACATGACGAGAAAAAAGTGAGGAAAACTGATTATTAGAGTGAATTTTCTAAGTTCAAGGACCATAACTCTGCACAAAATCATTAGACCAGAACAAAATTTGAACTTGATCTGTAACTTGTCATGATAAAATTATATCCCAATCATCAAATCAATATCTTCAAGCATGACAAAAACAAGTGCGGAAAACTAATTATATGAGTGAATTTTATAAGTTCTAGGACCATAACTCTGCACAAAATCATTAGACTGGAACAGAATTCAAAATTGATCTGTAAATTGTCATGATTAAACAATACACCAAATATCAAATCAATATCTTCAAGCAAGAAAAAAAGTGTGGAAAACTGATTTGCCGGACTGACGGATGGACAGACAGATGGACGGAGTGCAAGCCTAAAGTCCCCTTCGACTTCATCGGTAGGGGACTAATTATTATGAAGTAATAGAGCAGCCCAATATGAATTTTTTTGGGTATGAGAATTTAGAGGAGATATATTGAACAGTTCATCATCGCATATCATCACCAGAAGTCTGAATTTTATCGATAAAATATTATTTTTCATGAGAAATAAGATAGAAGTTATACATTTTAGGTTTTTAAGATTAAATGGGTAAAATCCTGTTTGATGTTGCATATATACATGTAGTTCATAGTGCATTGGCTGATATTTGATGTATTCTCTAGATTACGTGCCTGTATCCATGTTGTCAAACCTACATGGGGATCTTTCCATGTCTTGATTTGGACAACAGTTGTTATATTTCGTTGGACACTTCAATTTGTGGATAAAGCCATCCACGAAAACATCGAAAATTTGTACCCCACGAATAAAAGTACTTTCACAGTACTATACTATATTCAGGATTACTATATCTTTTTTTAATCTTATGAAGTGTCTTCAAATTGCTACCAATTAATTATGGGCCCTTTTTTTTTTAAAAGATATTACAATTTTAGATTATCAACTAGAAAGTGTCCATAGTACCTTGATGCTCCACTTGCACTATCATTTTCTATGTTCAGTGGACCGTGAAATTGGGGTAAAAACTCTAATTTGGCATTAAAATAAGAAAGATCATATCATAGGGAACATGTGTACTAAGTTTCAAGTTCATTCGACTTCAACTTCATCAAAAACTACCTTGACCAACTATTGTAGGTGGGGCATAAAAATCAAAAGTAAATACACAACTTAAGGCAAAAAGTGCAATAATTAAAAATTTCATCAATGCCTGATATCATGAATTTATAATCCACATATGTGTAATCCTTTTCCACCAAAGATGTACCAAAAAACCTCACATACAACATCCTTTACCAGGAAACGTGAGAACTGACAATTAAGAATAAAAGTAACTCCATAGCAACAAAGTTTTCAATTTCTTTTTAATTGTATGAAGATTTAGCTACCTTCTATTTTCTGTATAACCTGTGATTTATTTTAGATAGAAAATTAAACTGAATACAATACATACACATTTTGGTATACATTTTTTTCACTTTGTTATTTGCAACTTGGCAGCCTTACTAATCAGAAAAAAATACATCATTTTAAGCCTACAATCATGTAATATCTCTGCTCATCATCATATAGCTGTTAAGAGCTGAAGCGACCAGATGCTCAGCAACAATCAATCAATAAAACTATCAATCAATCGTGTTATATCTCTGTAAAATTTAAGACAGATTCTCATGACAATGAGTATTAATACCAGACTGTCTAATTCATCAGTTTCATTTCCACTCCTCATCTTTACTGAACTCTGGTAGATTTTACCAATCTAGGATTTGGCAAACAAGTGAACAAAACCAAAACTTTTTCTGTATAAGGATTTACCACTTCCAGATTTTGCTGATGATCAGTATATAACACTCAGATGGTCTATAATTTACTTATCAATCACATGTAATCATTCTTTGACAATTTGGACGTTGTGAACTGTCCAACAGTGCATTTCAATTTGTTTGTGATAGATGGATCCTCTATCAACTTTGGTCCATCTGAGGAGCTACAGGGAAATAGAAGAGTCCACAGAATGCATCCTGTAATGCTCTTTGGCAGGAAAATTTAGTATCAAAACCACCAGCCTTCTCTGAATCTGATGTTGCTCTCACATTGCGTAGATATCTAAAAACAAAGAAAAATGTGAATGATTCCTTATTGTGCACTTAATTTGTAATAAAAGGTATTTTCCATAATCACTGACCTATACATTTGTTTTCTTGGAAAGCACTTTTTTTTTATGTAAGTACTTAAAAAAAAATCATATGAAAAACAGTATTTTCACAGGAAACTGCAGTCACCCCATTTCATGTTCTCCCTTTTTAAACCCCAAAATTAAAAAAAAAAATACCCTTTTTTTCCTATTACATCTCAGGAAATTACACAATTGTGTCAAGTTCCAAATGAATAACCTAAAAGGGAATATACAAAATCAGCAATTGCCAAAAATTGGTAGACCCCTTTCAACTTATTCAAAGTAAACTGAAAACAACTAGATAAGTTATTCTTACCCAAGTGATATTAATATTTCTTCTTCTTGGAGTTCTGGACCACACAAGTCTACATGTATAGGAGAGTATTTGTAAATTTCTATTTTTTCATCCGGCACAGGTAAAAATGCATTTTGAGCACCCTGAAATGTAAATGAACAGTGCTCTATACTATTTTACTACTTCCAATAACTAAAAGAAATCATTTTATTGTGAACAGCTTATGTTATGTTAACTTATAGCTAGTGTTTGTGAATGAAAATACTTTAAAGGCAAATTTTACATTGCTTTTAACATAAATTATGTCAAGTTCTAATTGATTTCAGCCTAAATTGTAAAAAAGTTTGGATTTAAGATTATGAATATAACTAAAGTTTCCAGATTATATCATCCTATTCATTTATCAATAAAATTAACATAATTTTAAAAAGTCAAAAGATTTTATTTTTTGTAATTTCAGGGGGCCGATAATGGCTCCTATCACACATCCTTCTTTGATCTGAAATACATCATTTTCAAGACAATTTCCAGCTCATATTCACATTGAGTCACAAGCCATACCAGTCTAATTCCAGTAGAGAACTGGGTGGCAGGTTGTTGAGGTAGACTAGATTCCATTTCTGTATCTTCTTTTTCTTGATCATGCTTGTGAATGGCAATAATGTCTTTGGCTGACATGTCAGAAAACATCTGAAAAAATACAGGAAATGATACCTTTATTCTTTGAACCTGTTAGTAATTCAGATATCTAATAAGTTATAAACACCTAAAGTCAGTCCCATGTAATTCTCAACCTATTAAAATGTCAGCAGTAAATTATTTCGTTGGATACTCCAGCAAACACCAAGGAATTTTTAAGTGGTGGTTTCTTTAATATAAATATATTTTAATGAGAGGTACTTAATTCAACAAAATGGTGTTTATCAAAATGTTTACCTATTTTGTGTCAAATAATTCTACCACTAAATTTTTACCATGAATGATCATTTTTTTGTTTTATGGGAAACCTGTTTCTGTAGTAGTCCCAGGACATTAAAATGAATTTTAGTACTGCAGACTCTCTACAAGCAAAAGCTATCTGCTTAAATAGGCTTCTTAAATAAACAGTTATTTCAAATTTTCTAGTAAAACCAGTTCACACCAATATTTCTAATTAACAGTTCATGAATAATCAACAATATGTAGTAATATAAAATATATCTTTTATCAACAGTTCGACAGCTTACAACCAAATACCACTTCACTATGTATTTTCTTAAAGGTTTAAAAAAAATTCACTCTTAATCTTTTGCCCCATTAAGCAAACAAAAATCCATCAAATATGATTTATCTTGTTATGGTAATAAGTGTTCTAGCTACAAAGTTTGAACAGGGCGTAGCGCCTGCCCTTTTTTATTGACGCCTGTGCCCTTTTTGGTGACGCTCGTGCCTTTTTTCTGCCGTTTCTCAGGTGCCCTGTCGTTTTTATTGCAAAAATTTGCTTTTTCTCGGATGAGTTTTGTCAAAATGTTCGTCGCCATTTTTCTTCCTTGTTGAACATGCGTAACGCACCATCTATAACTTATTAGCATAAAAATTTGCATAAAAAGTGTTTACCTTGATTATCAATCGATTTCGTGATTAGAATTAAACTGAGAACTTAATTGATCTTAATTAAGTCCAAATAAATTTTAAATCATAACTTTCACAATGCCGACTAGAGATAAGCGCCTGAAAGATGAAACCAAAAAGAAATGCTAGCCAAAATAAAACTTTGACATCATTCTTTACTATGTAAGTGGAAATTATTTTTAGAAAAAAAAGTTTATCATTTTGAAATCTTTTACGTCGCTTAACTAAACTCCACCAAATTAAAAAAATGAAAGATATTTACGTTTTTTTGTAGAAAAGAACCACTTTAGGCGCCTGTCTCATCAGTTCAAAGAAAATTACCTGAAACTAGTCAAACTAAAACAGAATCCCCGCGTAAAAGGCACAATAGTGGCCATCGTTTAGGCTTTGATAGTTGGCAAATCGGCAGAAACTGGTTACAATGTGTTGATGATACCATGAAACGTTCACTTTGTGCAGAATTTAAAAAGAAAACTACTTGGGCCACAAAATGTTGTAAAACTTTACGACTAGACAAAGTGAAGGAACAAGAATTTAGTTTAGAACATATAAAATTAAATGTTGTCACAATAGAAATTGAAAAGGCAAATTTTGAAAAAAATAATGAAAACATGAAAACTGACTCACACAAAGCTATAGCCCATGCTTAGAAAGTATCATACTTTATTGTGCAACACAATGTTGTAACAAAGCTTTTTAAAGTCAAACAGAGAAGGTTGTGCCAAAAGTATTGAATTTTATTACTCCATTTTAACTGAAACTTGATTTTACCATAGTGCCTCAGTTATATAGAGTATTTTGTTTGTAATGCTATGTATATATGTATTTTATGACATATGCTAATAAATTATGAGGCTTAAATAATTGCCCTTTTTTCCATGACATTTACGTGTAAAATTGCCCTTTTTCTGACTAGCACCCTGCCCTTTTCAAATCCTGGCTAGAACACTGGTAATACTAAGATAAGAATATTTGTATATCTTAAAATGTACAAACCAATTCATCAATCAAAGCCTCTTTATTTTTTAACTTATTGTTTTTCTGTCTTTTTTCATCCTCTTCTTCTATCTGTCTTCTGATTTCTGAATCTTGTTTTTCTTGGCCAATCAACATCTCTAAATACTCTTCATCTTTGCTCTAGAAATAAATTGACAGGCTAAAGAATGTTTATATCAATGCATTACTCATTTACTGAGATTGAATATAGTTTGAAATAATATATGTCAAAACTTTAAAATTGATCATTAAACTTAAAACATTCAGTAGACAAACTTTTAAATTTATATACGATAGATAATAATTAAAAAGTTTTGCATAAAATATCTTCCCTAACAAAACATCAGATAATCTAAAGGAGTCTGGCTAATTTCGTACACCAAAATGAAATTAATGTTATGCCATTGGTTGAATATTCATTAGTTAGGATTTAAACAAATCTCACTGTTATGAAAGAATTAACCAGAATGCATTTCTATAGAATAAGATTATGTGAGTTTTAATACAAATAGGGGTGGGGATATTTGCCAAGTATATCGATATAGTTCATGGACAAATATAAAACAAAATATGGTGTTTTGAGCTATTGTATGAAAAATGATAATAAATTCTCACTTTTAAAATAATTTATAAATAAATGTGGATAGTGTCCACATGTGGACACAGATGATGCCCCCGCTTGCATATCATATAGTTATAAAGGGACATAACTGAAGAACAGTAAAAGTGACGCTACCCAAATTTGAACTTGATCTGAGTTTTGTGTGTAAGTCTCATAACATTTGGTTGAGGCTAACTTAAGTAGAGAACAGAAACTAAAAATTCAGCAATTTTTCTATTTATAAAGGGGCATAACTCAATAATGGTTAAAGTGACACTACCCAAATTCAACTTGATCTGTGTTTTATCTATGGAAGTCAAAATTAAACATTGCATTGTATAAAGCATTGATTGTAGTTGATTCAACTATAATCATGGACAAAGGAAGATAACTCCAATTTTAAAAATAACTTGATATTTAGAAGAAAATAAAAATTTTGCAATTTTTTCAATTTATAAAGGGGCATAACTCTAGAACGGTTGAAGTGACGCCACCAAAATTCAAACTTGATCTGTGTTTTGTGGTAATTAGCATTGTGTATAAGTTTCATAACATTTGGTTGAGGCAAACTTAAGTTAGAGAACAGAAACTAAAAATTTTGCAATTTTTCATTTATAAAGGGGCATAACCCTAGAACGGTTATAGTGACGCCACCAAAATTCAAACTTGATCTGTGTTTTGTGATAATTAGCCTTGTGTATAAGTTTCATAACATTTGGTTGAGGCAAACTTAAGTTAGAGGACGGAAACTAAATATTTTGCAATTTTTCCATTTACAAAGGGGCATAACTCTAGAACGGTTAAAGTGACGCCACCAAAATTCAAACTTGATCTGTGTTTTGTGGTAATAAGCCTTGTGTATAAGTTTCATAACATTTGGTTGAGGCAAACTTAAGTAACAGAACGGAAACTAAAAATTTTGCAATTTTTCCATTTATAAAGGGGCATAACTCTAGAACGGTTAAAGTGACGCCACCAAAATTCAAACTTGATCTGTGTATTGTGGTAATAAGCATTGTGTATAAGTTTCATAACATTTGGTTGAGGCAAACTCAAGTTAGAGAACGGAAACCAATTTTGGAACGTACGGACGGACGTACGTACGTACAGACGGACAAGGGTAAAACTTAATGCCCCCACCGCTACGGCGGGGGCATAAAAATTTAAACATGTTAAAGATACAAACTACCAAAGCAGGCAACATATTTGATAATTGCTGCTCCATATATATATATATATATATGCTAAAATGATAGCTCCATTTAATAGAATCAATTAAAATTAATCATGAAATGTTAAGAAACACAAGAAAAGTCAATTGAATAATTGAAAATAATTCATTCCTAAATTTTTCCAACAATTTGTATTTCTTGATAGAGGATTATTTGAAATTTTGAACTAATTTTTCTGTCACAATAAAATACTGTAAATAATCATCTATGACTTGGGCTTAAAGGTTTAATTGACTTCAATGTTAAAATTGTATGATTTTTCACATTTAAGTTGTGACTGTATTGGTCCATTAACTTGAGTTATTTACCACTACCGAGCTTTTTCCAGAAAAAGAAAAAAAGAAAAAGGGTAGGTGGGTTAGAAGGCACTTTTTTAAGACATACCACATATACAAATTCATCAAACATTTATGTGAATTTATGTAGTGAAGCTTTTCTGAACTCTATCATCCTTGAATTATTATAAAAAAAAACTCCCAACACCCTATACATTTTTCTGGAATAGCCCTAATTTGAAATATCTAATCCACAAATTTCAGTGGTGACCCTAATTGTTTTTAAAATCTTAAATCACTTTAAATAATACAGAAGTAAATTTAATTTGAATTTAAAAGGATTAACATATAGGATATAATGACTGCATTTAATGAGATTAAGGATAAAATCAACCACTGAATGCATTCAAATGCATTAACATATGATTGCAGGTTAAACAAATATTTGAAAATCAACTAATATGTAATATTTTACCAAAGTCAGCTAAGCATTAACTCTAGGTTAGAGGTATTTAATACTGTAAATTCAGAAATTATTGGGTGCATTTATTATTGCGAGATTTGAAGAATGGACGAAATGTGAGATTAATTATTGCTATTTTGGGAAAAGCTGCCTACATACATATGTATCAGATATCATAATGTGACTTCTTATTATTGTGATATGCATCCAGTAACATTATTCGCATTAATAAAAACCTCGCAATAATTTCTGAATTTACAGTATGTGTTTGTTCCCATAGATCTATCACTAAACCAATTTATGACTGTAAGTCATTTTTGTATCTGTGAATCTAACACTGACCTAAAACATATTCTAGTTCAATGAAGCGTGAAATGTAGGTCAGACTGAACTACTTTTGTGAGTTTACCTTTAGCCAATGTGACAAAATTTTAATATTCCTATCTCCATTGGATACAGGCCTAATCCCTTTAAACAGCCATCCAAATAGCAGTGACTTAACAAAACTATCTTAAACAATTTAAACAGGAGACCAAAAAAAATTAAAAGCATAAAATTAAATGTGATTTTCAACTTCTGGTATTACATTTTATAAACTTACCATTTTTGCTCTTCCTTTACTAATTTGCTCTTTATTTTCTTTCTTATATTGATCTATCATTTTCCTTGTCTCTTCAACATCTATATTATTGGCTAAATTAAATACTGAAATGAATATTATTTTCTATAAATGCAAGATAAGCAGTAAAGTACGCAACCAGAGGATCGACAATACATCGGAAAACAATTATTCAAAACAGCAAAACATAGATAGTTGTTAATGTCATGCATTTGGTGAAATTCATTTGTTACGAACATTTTTAAATTTTATAATTTTAGGAGCATTCTCAAATGGTTGTGGCCTGATATCTATTTCTTGCACAAAGAGATATTTCTCGTTTTACACCGCATGGAATGTGATACGAAAATTGTGTTTTTTTGGTTGGCTTATTAATCATCATGAAAAGATATTGCGACACTTCCATTGGCTATTCTCTAGGTCATTGATGACTTTCAAAGGTCAAAACTATGTACATTTCCTACATGGCAAAGGAGATATGCGATTTCTTCAATAATATACAAAACACTCACACTTTTTATCTGAAAATATTCTTTTGGTTAAATTTTATTACATTCTCGAGTGTACAAAAAGTTTTAAAATGTCTGACGTCAAAGTCTGACGCAGGAACAGGACATATGATGCTATACTGGTATGTACAAAAGAACACGTCAACTATTTGCTGAATTTTTTATTAACACAGAGATTATTTACCATAAAAGAAATAGGTTTAACAACTCATTAGAATTGGATATTGTTGATATCAACACTCGTTATCTAATTTAAATAGTAATAATAACCTTGCCACAGAGTGGCACAGACTCGGAAATTATTATATTGAAATTAAATACCTCGAGATGATATCAAGGGATATCCAATTCTCACTCATTATGAAACCTATAATTAAAGTGTTCCCAGGTTAGAGCATTTTTTATGACATAAAAGCACATATTGTGTATGATTACTGGTGATGAACCAGAAACATTAAAGTGATGAATTATTTTAACAGTATTCACTAATAATAAACTGTTATCACAGAGATATGTCTCGCCTTTTTGTAGTTTTGATAATGCAAATGTTGAAATTAAAATAGCAATACTTTAACATGTAAGTTATGCAAATATTCAAAGTCGATGAACCATGACTGAAGGTACATGGCTAAACAATCTCCATGGAATGAGATGTGCCAATGCTGCCCTGCTTTCATGAACTGGAATTATTCATGAATATTCCAGAATAATTTTAGAACATTCATGAATAATATTCATGAATATTCATGAATATTCAAGTTTACAATGCATGAATATTCATGAATGTTAAATGGCACCTTGAATATACATGAATATTGTATGAACTGAATAACCAAGAATTAACATGAATATTTATCTACAGAATATTCTTGAATGTGAAAAAGGATGTCCATGAGTATTGAATAGTGGAATACTGACTAGGATAACCATTACTGTGAAATAAGATGTCCATGAATATTGAATGGTTGAATATTTTAGAATAACCATGAATGTGAAGTATCCATTAATATTTTAGAACAACCATGAATGTGAAATATCCTTGAATATTCTAGAATAACCATGAATGTGAAATATCCTTGAATATTTTAGAATAACCATGAATGTGAAATATCCTTGAATATTCTAGAATAACCATGAATGCAAAATAGATGTTCTTGAATTTTGAATGTAGAAATAAATTTAGAATACCATGAATACAAATATGAGGGGCAGAAGGTCTTTCTCAGGCTTTTATTTTTGCAGGAATTCAGGATTTGACCTTTATAATGCAGTTCTAAATATATTTTGCTATTTTTGCATTCTTGATATAAAATATTTAAAATATAAAATGACATTTTAAGAAAATCACTTTGATGCCCCTGGTGACAGTGACGGTGTCTGACCCTTGTGAAAATGGGTCAGGATATCACAAGATATCCCCAGGATATCTCAGGATAATCTTGGGAAAAATCCCAGGGCAATCTTGAGATAATCCTTATCCTGAGATAGGGTTAAACATGGGACGGTATTGGAACAAGGACATTCCAGGGATATCCAGAGACCATTAAGACCATAGATATCATAGTAAAGAATCTTGTGGTAATCCTGTGCTCAGGATTCATCAGGTCCTGGTCTCAGGAAATTATCCTGATGTCAGGATTTACAGATTTGCTTGCATTAAGTTGGCCCTGGGATAATCCTGTGTATATCCTGAGAATGTCCTTAGTTCAGGACCAATAATGGCTTGCATGTATTCTATAAGGAATTAAAAAATTTGAGTAAAATCTATTTTTAATGCACAAATTTGTTCTTTTGCAAATATTTTCTTTTATTAGTTTAAATCCATATTCCTCATTATAAGGTAGATGATTGCCCTTGTTGTATCAAATCTGTCACGTATATATAAACATTGCGGTATGAATTACATTGACTAATTAATTTATTACATTTGTTACAGCAAGATGTATTGTAATAAGTAATGACTATTTGTATTGGCCATGTTTAATATCTTATTTCAATGGCTGTCAAGTTCCCATTTAAAAAAAAAATTACTTGTATTTAATGTCAGATCCTTAAACTTCCATCAAAATTAGATACTATAGTACTACATGTACTAGTAGCAAACTTGTTTGCCATTTTTAATGGCTGCTTATATTGTTAAATTACCCATTAAAAAGGTACCCACCCCCACCCCCTCCTCCCCATGTTCACCTTCAAGCATATCATTGTCTTAATATTGTATTTAGATACGCATTGTTCATCATGACATGGCTTAATGATGCTTGCTGTTCAGTTTCAAATATTATAATATTTCAGTATTATGACATTAAAATTGAGTTTCAGATATAAAGGATACATGTGAAGTTCTCCTCCTTTCTGTAATCAAATTTGCTGTCTCTGTACTTCCAACTAGTATTGCTGAGTAAAGGTAACTGGAATCTGCATGCAATCATTTACTTTCAAAATTGGCAGCTCCATTTAATCATTTAATCCCCTAAAAGTATAAAAAAAATCCACAAAGAATCAATTGTTCTAGACGTTTTGAAGCAATAAATTCAATAGAAATATTATTGCATGTTTATACAGTATACATTGGAAGCCATTTGGAATCAAATTAATTACCCTCCCCTTTTTTTTATCCCCTGAAGATAAAAAACTAGCGACTTATTATTTTCACCAAATAACCATTCACACAATTCAATTAAATTTTTACATATCTACCAGTTATGCCTGTTATGTGACAACAAGATTATTCAATGTTGTTAAAAATTAATATATATTTTCAGTTTATGCTTTCAGACTTTGTAATGTTGATTTGCTCATGCAAATAAAAACCATAAAAAATCATAGTTCCTCAATAAATTATATTTTATAATCTCATTATATACACATGTTAAATTAAATTTTTAATGCACTTATCTGAAAACATCATCATAGGATCTTCTATTTTGATTCTACATTCTGTAATCTGCAACAGCGTAATCACATTTTGATGACGTTTTTATCCAGTACGCTAACGTAACGTCGAGGTGACAATCTCGCCCCATATTATATCAGCCAGAAGTTGATCCGTCCCCGTAACGGTATTATAAAAATTAATCAAGGGTGTCGTATAAAAGTATTTATTACTGGCCAGTTTTTAAAAATAAGAAAAAAACAACTTTAATTTAATCGGCACAGGGTGCATGCGGATGAACTAGTGACCGCATTATCTAGGACGGTATTTTCTAGGGTCGGACTGTTCAGTACAGTTACAAAAAAACCACGTGGTCATGACTTGTTTACATTTTACATAAGTTGAGAAACCAAGGTTTTACGATGTCGATCGTTGGCCTATCATTGATCTGATAATTTTTATAAGTTATTTAAATGCTGGACAACAGGTAGAAAATCAGAAACGATTCAGCTTGTCTGGCAAAAGAGCCGTTGGCGTTTCTCGGGCGCCCTGTCGTTTTTATCGCGAAAATCTCGGCATTTTTCTGACTTTGAAATACTGTCAAACTGAAATTCGTAATTCTTCCATGCACAGGAAGTCCAGCTAGCTGTGTAAACTGTGAAATTAAGTGATCCATTAAGTGCAGGGCTTCACCTGCCAGCTTTGGTGTCAAACACATTGTTAATTAACACCAATAACCTTTGTTTTATGTCATAAAATTTTGGTATTTCAAAAATGTTTCAGTTACTTCCCCTTTTTTATCACCTTTTCACAATATATTCCTTAAATTTATTGTTTAAAAAAAAAAAATAAATAAAACAAATAGAATGCAAATGCATATCAGAATATTACTTTTAATTAATTATTTTTAACCTGAAAACACTTAATATATAAATATTTTGAAAATTAATAATAATAAGTGGGGGCCCTTTATACCTTGCTGTTCGGTGTGAGCCAAGGCTCCGTGTTGAAGGCCGTACTTTGACCTATAATGGTTTACTTTTACAAATTGTGACTTGGATGGAGAGTTGTCTCATCCGCACATATATCACATCTTCTTATATCTAATTATTCTGATACTTGTGAAGTGTTCTAGAATCATTTACAAACATTTCAAACTTCTTGATGAAGAAAAGCGGGTAAAATTCCATTAAATACTGCAAACAATCACATACAAGTTGAAATCACCAGAGTCTCACTGGTTATTTTCAACAAGTGACACACACCTTTTTCCCTGAATTCCCATGGCTAAAAAGGGTGAGCAGTATATGTAGGAATAGAGATAATACACCACTTTTTACAGTCTTAATCTTACCAATAGTTTCAATCATCTCTAAGTAATCATTATAGTCATTCAGGTTATTAAAATCATCTTCCTTTTTGTTGAAGCTGAAATCATACAAATAAAATATGACTATTTATCAAAGATTATTCAAGATTAATTAAATATCTATTTATCGTAAAGTGCTTCAGTTTTCACCTGTGGAAAGTTCATGAAACAAACAGAATATATATATATGATATTATTAAGTTCAATAGCATCTTTTGTCATGGCTGTCTTCAATGTTAACTGATAAAGGTACAAATATTTCAATAGTAGAGTTTTTTTAATAACATGAATAAGAGCTTTCATTATTTACCTATCACAATATAAAATAAAAGGATACTTATAATATTAAATTAAACTTCCTGCAATTATTTAATCTTTGATGTTTTTAAAATGTTGGAAGGAATGAACTACTGGTAATCAAATGAGACAGATTCTGGTAATAGTACCATACATCTGCCTCCTGTTCTTTTTTTGTTTTTGAATGTTGGGGACAATTTTTTTTTTTAACCTCAGTGCACCAGTAATAAACAATATTTACCAGGTGACTAGGAAGTAATAAACAATATTTACCAGGTGACTAGGAAGTAATAAACAATATTTACCAGGTGACTAGGAAGTAATAAACAATATTTACCAGGTGACTAGGAAGTAATAAACAATATTTACCAGGTGACTAGGAAGTAATAAACAATATTTACCAGGTGACTAGGAAGTAATAAACAATATTTACCAGGTGACTAGGAAGTAATAAACAATATTTACCAGGTGACTAGGAAGGGAATAGGATGATACTGTAATAAATGTGTCTAACATTTACAAAGGATTATTTTAAACACAATTCAATGAAGCAAATGTTGTTTTTTTTAAACTAAAAATTGGAATTGTTTAATGTATTTTAGCATGCAAAACAAAAAAGAATCTTGGTTGGGATATTGTTAAAATCACAAAGCCACAACTTTACTGATTATCTTAGGCAAAACAAGCTTCACTTTAAGGTATTTTTAAAGCTAAATTTGGAATCCAAGATGGAAATTCTCAAATCTCTTTCACTGGTGTGGTAAGCCCTGATTTATATCTACATTTAATATATGTTATACAATTTAAACATACTCTCTCAAAATCTTTTTTCGAATGTCTACTTCCTTTTCTATATAAGGATCTTCAAAGAGTTGTAGTCTGAAATTACTTCTTCTTAATGCTGTACCACATTCAGGACAAGCCCCAGAACCTTTAATGAAGAGCAAATCTACACAACTCTCACATCTGAAATAGATAAATAAATAAACAAACACTAATACTATACAACTCCAACATCTGTGTTTAAGAAAAGTTACAATTTTTGTTTATTTTACAAGAACACTTAAAATTGGCTTTACTATGACCTCAGAGCATCTGAAGTACATGAGTATTTTTTTTTTTTGGTTTCACATGCATGTATTATCAGCTTTAATTAACAATTTATATAAAAATAAGAAGATGTGGTATGATTGCCAATGAGACAACTCTCTACAACAGACCAAATGACACAGAAATTAACAACTATAGGTCACCGTATGGCCTTCAACAATCAGAGAAACCCATACCGCATAGTCAGCTATAAAAGGTCCAGAAATGACAAATGTAAAATAATTCAAACAAGAAAACTAGTCTACAAATGTAGTGTTTCACCTGCAAACAAGTATATGGAATAAATGTGTGTGGCACCTATAACTGTATTTGTATAACACACTAGAGACACATCTGTCTTAAATAAAACTATAAACAATAAACATTATGAGTGTACATGTATGACAACTATGTAATTACTGAGGTTTGTAATTTAATGCCTCTATCATCTTCTCCTTTACTCCATATGAAAAATATGGGCTTCCTTACCATTTTTGGCCAACTGCTGATAGGGTACATTAACACTGGATATACATGTATACCATCCCAATGTTGTTTTAATATAAAAGTTGCATAAGAAATTTATTAAAATTTTTCCAGGTTTTACAGTTTACACAAAAACAAGAGGCTGTCAGAGTGACAGCAAAACCGGATTTTCCTGCAGAGGTCAAACCCTCAACAGTTGAGCAAGTATGGACACTTCATTTAAGCTTAAAACTGCTCTGAATTTGGATTGTGGTTGAATATTTGACACAGCATAGTTTTGTGACACAAAATGAATGTGGTCAAAGAACTGAATTATTTGAAAATGGACATTTACCTATTATGGTCCAATATCCAAAATCTAAGTACATTGTCAGAATCAGCATATCAAAGAACTCCAAAAATTCATTTTTTTAATGAAATCAAACAAAAGTTTAATTTAGGACCCTTTGGACCACAATGTGGACCAATTTGACAAAGGAGCTCACAATCCAAAATCTCTCAATACATGGTAAGATTCAGCATTTCAAGGAGCCACATAAATTCAATTTTTGTGAATCAAACAAAGTTTAATTTTGGACCCTGATTTGGACCAACTTGAAAACTGGGCCCAAAAATCTAATATTTAAATACAGGTTTAGATTCAGCATTTGAAAGAACCCTATATATATTTAATTTAAGTTGAAATGAAACACAATTTAATTTTATCCATATATTTTCTGTGCAAAGGGAAATAACTCAAACTTGATAAATAGAAATGGAAAAATATTAAATACTAAACTCATTCAAAGGGTATCTACACGTCTCAATCTTCAAAATCGCTTATCAAAAAATACTACCATGGCCATCGCTAACATTTTTAACAATGAAAATGGTGGTTACCATTCTATCGATAAGTGTCATGCCAAAAAATGACTTACATGTCCCCGTCTTTCCACCAACAATACGGTAAGGTCTACGTATAATGGTCGCAAATTTCATTAAATTATGAAACTGATATAACTTGAAAAACAAACAGTATTATTTATTTACTCACATGAAATAAACCGGGATGCGGTATTCAGTACGTAGGTGAAGCTGGACGATATTTATCTAAACGCACGCAAGAACACCTATATCGTGTTAAAAGACCCAATAGATTCAAAACTATCATTTATCAACATCTTAAAAAGCACAATCATCCTATTAAATATTTAACAGTTCAACCTTTAGAAGTAGTAAATAAGCAGCCTGGTGAATCTCATTCAAAGTTTGTACGATCACTGAAAATAATTGAATTAAATTGGATTAAAAAATTACAGACAGTCTACCATCTCTTTCTTTATGATAATATCATGGGAATTGGTAATATATCAAGAACCGATTCTGTTAACATTTTGGATATAGTTTCTAAAACTGATCGTAAAAACCGTTCTCATGGGCGTAGAAAAAATCGCAATCAAAGAAAATTTCATCCAATCATACAAATATTTGGGACCTTATTTCTATTTCAAAAAACAACGGCAGACATTATCTATTAACCAAGCTCTGTTCTTCACCTATAAATAAATTAAATAAAATTTTAGAGGATTGCAACACAATTTCATATTGCAATCCTAAGTATGAAATCGTTCAAATAATAATGGCATATTGTTATTCTAAACTGTTTCCCAAAATTGATCGCCCTGAAGATCATAAAAAACATTTTATTAAAATAAAGTATGTCAATCAAGCTTTTGATTTTGTAAATATTGCCGGTATTTTTAACGACCATTCTGTTATAGAACAAATTCCTGGATATTTTGATAATACTGAACTCCCTCTTATTTGTTATATTTACAAGAAATCTACCCCGAAATTTGTGTTTAATTATAGCCAAGTCTGTAAAGATGTAAATATCAGTGAAAATACACCTACGTCATGTAATTGTAGTTATTCTGAATACACTTATGGCCCATTTCCCATGTTCTAACAGGAGACCTTAACATCGTTCGTGACCGAGAGTTAAAATCATTCCTCAATTAAGGACCTAAATATCGTCCCCCGTCAATTATTAATTGGAATGAGTGTCGTAATATCATCTACGACTCACTTCATGCTTACTGTTTGAAATGGATAAAACGGGAAAAAGCTGACAAAAAATCTTTGGACTCTTTTTTTAATTCAGTAATGAAGATAGTTGATATACGTATACAACATTTTAACGAACATTTTACTCTTAACAACAACCATAAAAATCCTATTTCTCGTATCAAACATAAACTAAAAGAACTAGCCAAGGAATTTGTTTTTGTCCAGGCTGATAAAGCTGCTAATAATATCATTATAGTTTGAAGTAAATTTTACATTGAGGTTCTGCAAAAGGAAATCACAAATTCACCAACATTCCAACTGACTTCATTTTCAGAAAACGATATCTGTAACAAACATAAAACTATTAGCTACTTCTTTACAAGCAGAACCAAATACAATGAAAGTCCCAACTATGTACTGGCTTCCGAAGCTACACAAATCACCTTACAAATATAGATTTATTTCGTCTTCAAGTCATTGTTCCACTACTAAATCGTCTATTCTACTTACTAGTACACTTGGTACAATCAAAAACCTGATAATAAATTGTTCAAATAAGGCCTTTGAAAATAGTGGAATTAATTACTTTTGGAGTGTCAAAAACTTGTTGGAAGTACTTGATAAATTGCATGCATATATTGGTGATTTTGAATCTGTTCAAAGTTTTGATTTTTCTACTCTATATACCACTTAGCCTCATATTCTTATTAAGAAAAAATTCACACACCTAATTAAATGGGCATTTAAAAAGTCGGAATGCGAATACATATGTTCAAACTCTTTTAGGTCATTTTTTAGTAGCAACAAACAAAAGAACTATGTCAATTGGACATGCTTTGATAATAAATCTGCCCTTGAATTTTTACTTGATAACATTTTTGTTCGCTTTGGATATTCCATATATTGTCAAGTTATCGGAATTCCAATGGGGACTAACTGTGCACCACTTATTGCGGACCTATTTTTGTATTGTTATGAGTTACAATTTATGACTAAAATCAGCAAAGACCCATCGAAACAACATCTTATACAAAAATTTAACAATACTTTTAGATATTTGGATGATATATTGGCTCTCAATAATGACGACTTCAGTATGTATACTAAAGAAATTTATCCTGTTGAACTTACTTTAAATAAAGCTAATACTAACAATGACCACTGTCCTTTCCTCGATCTTGATATCTATATCATTAACGGGAAGCTTAATACAAAAATTTATGATAAAAGAGATGATTTTTCATTTCCTATCGTTAATTATCCATTTTTAGATGGTGATGTTCCCTTGTCACCATCTTATGGTGTTTATATATCTCAACTTGTAGGATTCGCTCGTGTATGTAACAACATATTAGATTTTAGCGAGAGAAATTTATGTATTACTGAAAAATTATTACACCAGGGTTTTTCGATATCATAAACTAGTCATTAAAGATTGCATATTTTGGCTTTAATATTGATTTACTTATAGGGTCTTTGCATCGGAATTAACACATTTATTCTAAAACCAGTTGTTGGCATGACATGGGTTATGTTTTTCTCATATATTTTATGACGGTATAATACTAAACCCCTAACAGGAGGGATTGTGCCTGATATTCATGTGATGAAGACATAATCTTTCAATCAGTTTAATTGAGGTCTGGACTGGAGCTGGCATGTCAGTAACTGCTAGTAGTCTGTTGTTATTTATGTATTATTGTCATTTTGTTTATTTTCTTTTGTTTCCTATTCTGACATTGGACTCGGACTTCTCTTATACTGAGTTTTACTGTGAGTACTGTTGTGCGGTTTTTTTTCAACATTGGCTAGAGGTATAGGGGGAGGGTTGAGATCTCAAAAAACATGTTTAACCCCGCCGCATTTTTGCGCCTGTCCCAAGTCAGGAGCCTCTGGCCTTTGTTAGTCTTGTATCATTTTTAATTTTAGTTTCCTGTGTATAATTTGGAGTTTAGTATGACGTCCATTATCACTGAACTAGTATACTTATTTGTTTAGGGGCCAGCTGAAGGACGCCTACGGGTGCGGGAGTTTCTCGCTGCATTGAAGACCCATTGGTAGCCTTCAGCTGTTGTCTGCTCTATGGTCGGGTTGTTGTCTCTTTGACACATTCTCCATTTCCATTCTCAATTTTATGATTATAATGAATAAAGTGATGACTAAGTTCTATAAAATTAGATATGATGTAATTTTTCAAATTATAATCAATAATATAATAATGTAATTTTTCAAATTTTAATCAATAATATAATAACAACAACCAGTGATGACTAAGTTCTCTTAAATTAGATATGATTTAACACTCAAACATTGTTAAAATCAGCATATCAAAGAACCCAAGAATTCAATTGTTGATTAAACAAAAGTTTAATTTAGGACCCTTAGTACCTCGATGTGGTATTATCTAACTAATAATGAAAATAAATACAGGTTTAGATTCAGCATTTCAAAGAACCCTATATATATTCAATTTATGTTGAAATCAAACACAGTTTAATTTTGGACCCTGATTTGGACCAACTTGAAAACTGGGCCCAAAATCAGATATCTAAATATATGTTTATTAATAGACAATATAAGCTAAGTATTGAAAGGAGTTCACCTGATCAAAAAAAATATATATAGCATTCAGAAAATTAGTTTTTACAGAATAACAAACAATTTACAATTTACCAAAGTAAAGAAAAATCATTTCAAATTTTATTTATCAGTAATACAATGTCTTTTAAAAATCTATAAAACTTATCTGTAATTATCTTCAAAATGTCTAATAATGAACAGTAAATTTCTTCTAACTATATTTACTACTATATAGCTTTTAATCATCAACACTTGACTTAGAAAACAGAAAATTTTCAAATAAATCTGTCACTCAAGATAAGACATTAACCATATGTTTAGTAAACTGATTACAGGACATATAAACAGGTGAAAATTATCTATAGGCTTAGTGTAATCAAACTTTATGTATATAATCATTGATAATTAACAATTTCTGTTCAAAGGAAAATAACTCAATCACAAAAAAGACCCCAGGGGACTCGACTTTTATTTCATTTGATTTGTTTTATTGTAAAATACAAGAAGAAAAATGGTTTCAGGGTGGGGATCTTGACTGTTTACAAGTTTTCAAAAAAAAGGGGGTAGGGGTTACCCCAGGGGACTTCCCCTAAATTTCATTTGATTTGTTTTATTGTCCCATAAAAGATTATATATGGTTTAGGGGTGGGGATCTCAACCGTTTACAAGTTTTCAAAAAGAAGGGGCTGGGGTCTACCCTTGTGGACTTCCCCTAAATTTCATTTGATTTGTTTTATTGTCCCATACAAGAATATATATGGTTTAGGGGTGGGGATCTCAATCATTTACAATTTCTCAAACAGAAGGGGGTGGGGGTTACCCCATTGGACTTCCCCTATATTTCATTTGATTTGTTTTATTGTCCCATACAAGAATATATATGGTTTAGGGGTGGGGATCTCGACCGTTCACAAGTTCTCAAACAGAACGGGGTGGGGGTGACCCCAGGGGACTCACCTTTTATTTCATTTGATTTGTTTTATTTAAACATACAAGAATATATATGGTTTCAGGGTGGGGAGCTTGAACATTTACAAGTTTTCAAAAAAAAGGAGGGTAGGTGTGAACCCGAGGACTATCCCAATATTTCATTTGATTTGTTTTATTGACCCATACAAGAATATACATGGTTTAAGGGTGGGGATCTCAACCGTTTACAAGATAAAAGCACATTCTCAAATTGAAGGGGGGTAGAGGTAAGAATATATATGATTTAGGGACACTTAATTATCTACAAATTTTTTAATAATGAACAGTTAATTTCAAACTTCATTTATACAGTCCTACTAGTAAGTTTCAAACTTTATATATACAGTCCTACAGATCTTATTATCAGAAAACAGATAATTTTCAAATAAATCTGTCACTCCAATGATTATCATATGCTAAAATATTTCCAAGATCTAATTTATAATGAAAATAAGTCATTATCATATGCTAAAATATTTCCCAGATCTAATTGAACAGAACTATGGTTTAACATAGTACTCTAACATTACATATATAATAATTAATAATGTAATAATCTTCAAAACGTCTAATGATATAGCTTATAATCATTACCACTTAAGAAATAGATAATTTTCAAATAAATCTGTCACTCCAATTTTTATTGTGAGATAAGACAAATCATAACATGATAACAAGAGTAAAATATTTAAAAATTCCACTTTTGGATATTAAAAATGGCGATAACTCAAAAAGGAGAAATACTAAAATCTTGAAAATTGAACTAGACCTTCATTAAGTCCCAGGAAACAACATATTTAAATTTGAAAAAAAATTTATTAAAGCGTTTTCATGTCATTGTACAGACACTGTTTGGCAGCCGCCCGCCGTACATCACCATTTCAATAACCGATATTTCCTTGGAAAATATGGTTAAAAATCCAAGAAAATTAATATTTCCTTGTCTGTTGTGACATTTTAGATTTATATAAAAGAAATCTTTAAATACAACGTACCAGCTAAAATTGAGTCAGGGATTTCACAACCACAAATTACTTAAAACCTTTACTTAATTCTTTCATACAATAAAAGATTGGCTGTACATTTTTTTATACCTGTCGAATCTTTTCAAAAACAGGATATCACATCCTAATTTTTCAAGGTGATTATGTTGTTTATATCTAGCTCATAAATTAAGATAGAATCCATGTAAAGTTAGTAGTCTGTTGGCCCAAGAACACAGCTATTTTGTAGTGAATTTCTTTTAGACAATAAATTCAAATATAAAAAATCGCACCTGCTCTAAGAAAAATTTTTACAGCTTAATGTCCTACTTTTGGGACAAATAATATCAAAATTTTAGAAAACTTAACCAGATCTAACTCAAAATTTGGACAATTCTATGTTTTAACATGTTATTTCATCCCTCTCCTAAATATTTCATATATAAAATATTAAGGAATAAATTTGAAAAGTGTATGAAAAATTAGCAAGTTATACACTTTCCACACTAAGGACTATATTTGTAGACAACGAAAATCAAAGGAAGATAACTATGTCCTCGGACTTAATATGATTGAATCTCATTCTTTAAAGGTTTACATTTTAGTACTGTAGTAAAGTTCTGGAATATTGTTTTTATCTAACAATGTCTATCTTTTTTTTTGAAAGTTTATACATAACTATGATAACTGAACATGTATTACTGATCCAGAAATTAAGGCATATGGTCGACCAACTTGTCAATACTTATATTTTGTAATTGCAAAAGATCATGCTTTTCTCAGACTGCTTATAATTATGACATCTTTATATTAAATCATTTGGAGTGTATACATGTACATACTGATTGAAATTTTATATTAAATCTGGCATAGGAGAACCTGGATTAACTTTTAGTTGAAATTGGGAACTACATGTAGCTTTGAGTAACTGTGATTTAAGTCATTGTGTTATTTGTTTTTTTGTTCTTGTTTATTTGCTTAGTACTTATCAGATGAACTAACTTTTACATGCATGATTTTCCAAAATGAGTATTATCACTATAGCAGATTAATAGGAAATGATATAGACCCTCAGATACAGTAATTTTGTTCTTCGATTAAGTCAGTGCATTCCCTCAAAACTAAGAGTAGATATCGTAAACAGGTGGATTATTACAGTAAAACATGGATTACAATTTGTTTATTTGTTATACAGGTATATTTTTAAGTAATCCTGGGAAGATGTGATTTAATTCCAATTAGATAATTCAGGAGGCCTTTGCACCTCATGCGAGGTAAGCTAAGTGTTATTTTTGTAATGTTCGTATTTTTGTTTGTTGCTAATTTTATGCTTACGGCATTTATACAGCATGCAGCTTTTGCTTTTAGTTTTGTTAATTTGCTTATGTTAAAGTTTGTGTTAACCGCTTTTGTCATTTTTCGTATATTAGACTTGTCTATATAATATGAGTCGTTAAGTGCATATGGACTAAACTTTGTCAGTTACGCTCAACAATATAAGCATATTGTTGTAAATACATGCAGAACAGATTTATTTATATTTCTAATAGTAAAACATTTGTTTATCATATTACATGGATAGAAACCTATGTACCAGATTATTTATTTGATAAACGGTCAGAATCCTACTATTGTATTTATTTTGTAGGGTATTTTTATTTAGTTATTGTTATTATCCTGATTTTGTCAAGAAATAAAACGAATCCACCTCAGAAGAAAGTATTGTGTTTTATTAGCCCTAGAAAGTGCTACTACAATGTTAAATGAAAAGACTTTAATAGAGGACAAATAAAATAACCAACTGGGATCCTATTATCATGATTATAACCTCATTTGGGTGACATCCAAACCATATAACTTACAGGAGCACCCCTTTTTTTGTATTGCTCAATCTTTAGTTTTCTAAGTGGTGTTTTGTGGATTTGTTCCCCTTTTGGATATTTCCATAGCTTGTAAGTTTTTCTTCGACTTATGAGGTTTAAATGTACTCTCTCTCCCTTTTTTTCATTTTATTTAGGTTTTCACAGATCTATAAACTTTGCAGGCGTTCAGGTAAGTTTGTACTCAAATTGTGAGCCCTTGAATCTTGATTGTCAATTTACCCCTTGTATTTTGTAAGCTTGTGGCTAGTTTTGCCAGTTCAGTGGCATTTGTGGGATCTTTATACTTGATTTGATTTTATTGATGTCTGGTCTTTATATAAGAAGGATTTACAACATACAATGAGTGTCCACAGATATTAACAAGCAATTTCAATGAAGGATTTCTGTATTTAGTTGTTTTACATCTTGGACACCCTTGATCATCCATGCTGAGATATAAGGGAGATAATTCTTGGGAAACATCATTGTGTTTACTTTTTAAAATTCTAAAAAAATATCTATATTATTGAGATCGAAGTTATTTCACATTAAGTTTAACTACTTAATTTTATACTATTTTAATTATGAAAAATTTAACAAGGAATAATTGAATATTTGTCTACAAATAGGCAATGTATTATTACTACCCATTAGTAAACTCTCCTACTCTTTAGTGAAGAGGATCAAAGAGTAGCAACTTCCTGTTGATAAATTTTCTGCACGTTTCTCTAAGAAGAAATGACAAAACGTCCTTATCTTTGAAAATTTAATTGCTAAATAATTTCATTCATGTTCATTAAACAGATTTTTCACCGATTTATACCAAGATTGTCATCTATAGACTCCAAAAGACTTGTAGTTGTAAGAACTGAAACAAATGGACAGAAATTCCTCCAAGTTGCGAATTACCGGTTTTTTGATAGAGTACTTCTGATTAATTTACAGAAGTTTACAAATAAGGCCATTTCATCAAATTTCTTTGATATTTTCAACAAATTGAAATTAAAAATGGATAACATTGACTCAGAGTCTGAGATGTTAGAACTGTGTCCCCCAAAACAGGTTTTAGGAATGAAAGTTTTGGACAAATCTGCCTTCAAAAGGACTTGTAAAATTCCAGGAGTTAAAGTACCATTTCAAGCAATAAAACATATGAGTAAATGTATGAAGTTATCAATGCTGAGGATGCCAAAACTGAAACCAATAGCAGATCTTGAAAACTTTGATCCTGATTATAAATCACACAAGCTATTTCTTCTCAATCCATTGAAATACAAGTCACTAAATGATTTTAGCAATGAAGAAAGACAAATGTTCAAAAAAGCTGATGTAGACTTGGAAAGCTTTCAGCAGTATGATATAGAGTTGTGCTATGAGAATTGGACAGCTTCAGAAATAATTCCAGCTATTGTAAAAACCAATGTCTCTGGATTTTCCATTATAGGACATATAGCCCATCTTAATTTAAAAGAAGAAGTCCTCCAATATAAACATATTATAGGTAATAATAACTTTAAAGCAGTTATGCAGAAACTGTTAGTTAAGCATGTGAAGTAAGTTAGAGAAAATGTTGGTTGTAATTAATACTTCATAACAATCTAAATGTACATCACATGCTAACCTACATGTACCTTGCAGTGGCGGATCCAGAACTTTTTGTAAGGGGGGCCGCTCCAGTCATGCTTCAGTGATTCCCTATATAATCAACCAAAATTTTCCCACAAACGGGGGGGGGGGGGGGGGGGGGGCCACCCTGGATCCGCCCATGCCTTTTTAGCTCCAATACATGTCAGTTGTGTACATAACATTTTGCCTGCCTTTGTCTTTCAATTGAAAATAATTAAAATGATTTGGAACATTTAACTGAACTACCACAATTTTTTATGAAATATAAAAGTATAAATGTTGAAATAAAATACACATTTTAGAACAATTACATTGTGCAGATATCATGTTTATCATGTATATGTTATTTCAACATGTTTTTTGTTGCTACAACATTTTAACTGCATTGAATTTTAACCTTTTTTTGTTTAACAATTCAACCAACCTTCAAACAATAAGTAAAGAATTATTGTCTCCATCTAAAATGGTTTTTAAATGAATTATTAGCAACACTGAATTGGTCATGTTGGAGACAAACTTGCATACAAGTACATTCATCATGTATAGGAATTTTTAAAACATTGCACATATTCAAGTTGTAATATTTTAGTTTGCATTTTCTAATTATTATTCTGCTTTAATACTGATCAAATGCTGATAGTTTATTTTCTGGTTGATCTGGAGGTAAAGTCTTATTGGATATCAAACTATTTCTTTTTATATATAATTCGTCTCAAATTTAGCCCAATAATGTTAGATCTTCAAAATTTCGTTAGCAAATTTTTGTTCTTCCCTCAGCGAAATATACATATATATGTGAATTTCAGTTATATTGTCTACTTCTTTGTATTTGTCACAAACTTATTGTTAAAAGTTTAAATGGCGATAAATATTTGAATATGAATATATCAGTCAGGGGAATTACTGAAATAAGTGATTTATAAAATCACTTATTTAAGTCATGTAAGTAGCAAATTAGAAATTCGGTGATTTTGTAGTTTTACCAAAATTTTTTACATACACTGGTATAGATTATATCTTATTATTAGTAAAATTGAAAAAAATAACCTTTTGCTTCTTTTAAGTAGTAAGGTTCATTCATACCTTTGATGCAATCATTCAGCTGTCAATTCTATATTTGTTAAATAAAAATGCTATAATGAAGGCTTTACATATAAATGAACTAATACTTATACTGTATTAACAGATTTTTCCCAGCAGTGGGAGTATTTTTCCTGTAAAATTCAAGGTTTCATCCTACAGGTTATGTAATATGTTACTGTTGGCTATCAAAATTTCACTGTTTGGGGGTGTTGAAATTAGTGGGGGTATTTAAAATAATAATCCTTAAAGAAGTGATTTTTTGGAAGAAAATAGAGGTCTGGGATCGTATGCATAAAGCTACTTAAGGTGAGATATCCAATCGTAATTCTAATTTATCGTAGGACATGTAGAAAAATCCGTCCTTTGGGAACAAATCTTTACTTAAGTAGCTCTATGCATACAGGCCCTGATACTTAAACAAGTGATTTTCATGTCATTATCCCAGATTCAGTACAAGGTCATCACCTGACATGACCAGTCATCCTATAAAACACAGATGTTGGTTCTGATAATTTTAGAAACATAATTAGTCCCTGGATCATTAGTATTATAGATTTAAAGCTACCATAAAATTAAATCACTTAGTCTAGTGATTAATTTGTACTACATGTACTTAAATATGTGATTATAAAAGAAAGACAACACTTACTTTCAACATTTCTGGACAAAATGTTACTCGAATTGGTGATTTAGAAATCATTCATTTAAGTAATTCCCCTGACTGTATATTGATGAGCAACCAAAACAGACATTATAGGTTAATGTGACACTAAATGTAATCCAGCAGCCAAGACATACAACGACAACAGACTAAAAAATTCAAACAAACATACAAATAAATAAATTTGAACATGTAGTTTTTTTTTGTTTGCACATCTTTTTTTTCATGAGGAGTCAGGTGTTGGTCATAATAACTATAAAGTAAATAATTCAACCAGTCTTAATTACATTGTTGTAGCTAAAAAGAATAACTTGAAGGAAAGTTTGTGAAACTTGTTTGCTTTAAAGATCGGGTTTAATTTACTTGTAGATGCCTTTTACGACACTGTTTAAAGTCATAAACAATTATAATGAAACTAGCGTCAATGTAGATGTATTGTGTAGTATATACACAGTAATCTTTTGTTGAAATCTGTATTTTGAACTCTAGATGTCTTTTTTAGCTCACCAGGGCCCGAAAGGCCCCATGTGAGCTTATGCTATCACTTGGCATCCGTCGTCTGTCGTCGTAAACTATTTCAAAAATCTTCTCCTCTGAAACTACTGGGCCAAATACCTTCAAACTTTAACTAAATGTTCCTTAGGGTATCTAGTTTATAAATTGTGTCCGAAGTTTTGATCCATCGACAAACATGGCCGCCATGGCTAAAAATAGAACATAGGGGTCAAATGCAGTTTTTGGCTTATATCTCAAAAACTAAAGCTTTTAGAGCAAACCTGACATGGAGTAAAATTGTTCAATTGGTCAAGATCTATCAGCTCTGAAATTTTCAGACGAATCGAACAACCCATTGTTGGGTTGCTGCCACCGAATTGGTAGTTTTAACAAAATTTTGCAGTTTTTTGTTATTATTTTGAATATTATTATAGATATATATAAACTGTAAGCAGCAATAATGTTCAGCAAAGTAAGATCTACAAAAAAGTTATATGACCATAATTGTCAATTGACCCCTTAAGGAGTTATTGCCCTTTAAAGACAATTTTACACAATTTGTTTATCAAGTTTGCTAACATTTAAAAATCTTCTCCTCTGAAACTACTGGGCCAATTACCTTCAAACTTTAACTAAATGTTCCTTAGGGTATCTTGTTTATAAATTGTATCCGAAGTTTGTATCCATCGACAAACATGGCCGCCATGGCTAAAATTAGAACATAAGGGTCAAATGCAGTTTTTGGCTTATATCTCAAAAACTAAATCTTTTAGAGCAAACGTGACACGGGGTAAAATTGTTTAATTGGTCAAGATCTATTGGCCCTCAAAATTATCAGACGAATCGAACAACCCATTGTTGGGTTGCTGCCACCGAATTGGTAGTTTTAACAAAATTTTGCAGTTTTTTGTTATTATTTTGAATATTATTATAGATATATATAAACTGTAAGCAGCAATAATGTTCAGCAAAGTTACAGATCTACAAAAAAGTTAATATGACCAAAATTGTCAATTGACCCCTTAAGGAGTTATTGTCTTTAAAGACAATTTTACACAATTTGTTCATCAAGTTTGCTAACATTTAAAAATCTTCTCCTCTGAAATACAGGTGAGCGATTCAGGCTCTTGAGAGCCTCTTGTTTAATTTATTGGTTAATATTTCATTGGTGTTAACCTCCATGTAAACAATGTCTTTTATTCGTGAAGTAAGAACTGCATTGAAGAATCCTGTAGTTAAACTTTTTTTTCAAGATAAGGTATATATTTAACTACTTTTATATAATCTTTAACCTAATAGCACATGCATTCTCCATTGACTGATTGTCCTGTGTTCTGGTGAATAAATCAAATTCTGAGAAAGAAAAGCAATTACTACATAAAATATAAAGACATTTGATATTTTATATACCTGTAAATATAATGTTATTATTCTTGTATCAGTATGTTGATCATTCTTCAATAATTTTCATTGCAGGCCAGGTCTTAATGGATAAAAACCCTTCAGTGAAAACAGTAGTAAACAAAACTGGTCAAATAGACAATACTTTCCGTAATTTTAAAATGGAGTTAATAGCAGGAGAAGATAATATGATAGCTCAAGCAAAAGAACATGGATTTACATTTGAGTTTGACTTTTCAAAAGTATATTGGAATCCCAGATTGAGTAAGTGTTCTTTAAGATTTTATTATTTTATTGTACACATCCCTGTATAATTTGGCCCATACCAGCAAGATATTTGTTTTGCATGTAGCTTAACTTACAGATGATATGTCTATTTTCATTAAGTACAATTGCAATGTACAAAAATGATGCAACAAAACATAGCTGTATTACACTTTGATAGATATAAGAAGATGTGGTATGAGTGCCAATGAGACAACTCTCCATCCAAGTCACAATTTGTAAAAGTAAACCATTATAGGTCAAAGTACAGCCTTCAACATGGAGCCTTGGCTCACACCGAACAGCAAGCTATAAAGGGCCCCAAAAATGACTAGTGTAAAACCATTCAAACAGGAAAACCAATGGTCTAATCTATATAAAAATTTCGTAAGGGTTCCGCGGAACCCAGTGTCTCGCCTTCTTTTGCGGTTAATCGCAGTCTCAACAAAAATGAGGAAAAAAATCAATAAAAATATTCCTTTAGATACTATCTTTTGATTGTAAGAAGCTTCTGTCAAAGTTTGGTATAAATCCAGGATAGTTTATGAATCTAATAAATGTTTTAAAAACTTTAACTGCAGACTGTATTTAATGTTAACTGGAAGAAAAGCTTAGAAGTCCATTTATAAGTATAATACGGATAAACAGGTACAATTTAATTTTAACAAAATTTCCTTCTAGATACTAGCTTTTGATCATGAACAAGCTTCTGTCCAAGTTTGGTACAAATCCAGGATAGTATTAAGAAAGTTATTAAAATTTTAAAAACTTTAACCACAGAGTGAATGTATTGTTTCCTGGCAGAAAAACTAAGTCCATTTATAAGTAAAATATGGAAAAAATGAATTTTTTTTTAACAAATTTACTTCTGGATACTATCTTATGATCATAAATAAGCTTCTGTCATAGTTTGGTACAAATCCAGGATAGTTTAAGAAAGTTATTAAAATTTTAAAAACTTTAACCACAGAGTGAATATTTGTGGACGCTGCCGATGCCGACCCCAACGGAATGTAGGATTGCTATGTCTCGCTTTTTCGACTCAAGTCGAAGGCTTGACAAAAACGAGAAACAAGAAACACTTATGAACCACATCAACAAACGACAACCACTGAACATCAGGTTCCTGACTTAGGACAGGTGCAAACAAATGCAGCGGGTTTAAACGTTTTGATAGGCGCCAACCTCCCACCCTACCTGAAACAATAGTGTAACATCACAACATAGAAAGACACACTATAAAATATCAATTGAAATGGCTTGAATCAAATTTGCATTGATATCCAGACTGATCATTTACAAGGCTTATGTTTAGTATGATTAGGGCCTCTGGGAAGATTAATTGTATAACTAACTTTGTAGTTCTCTAAAATAGAGTGTTGTTGTTGTTGTTGAGTCAGAAGTATAACTTGTAAAAGTAATTTTTATAAACTTGATACTGTAAGTGAATATTTTCTTGTAAATTTGTCTGTTTCAGTTTCCTTTTCAAAGTTTGAATAATCTCCCCACAGTCTGTGTTTCAGTGATCTCCTTTCTTGTTTTATTTTTCATATGCCTTTAATACTTGAATCTTAGAATCTGGGCTATTGTAAAATTATGAAAGTGAATAGCTCTCTTAGTAATGTCTTATTGCACACCAGAAAATGAAGAATTTTTAGATACTGGTTTAATCTATGTACCACAAACTGTATTTTGAAAAACTGTTACTGTTTTTTATATGATGATTTACAAAAATGTCCAAATAATAAGACAAATTGGTTGTATTTTATTTAAAATGAGATGAATATAGTATAGGTTAAGGTGATATTTGGTATAATCAAGGATATTTTAATATACGGTAGATAGTAAGCTCTCCAGTGCTTTTTACTTAATATTCTAACATGACGTTCTTCAAACGCTTTGAGTACACACCTGTGGTAAAATATGAATATATTGTTTGGGCTGTTCCGATTGTACTCCCACGTCATATGCTTTTTTATGAATGAGCTACCCGACGTCATAGAATGATGACGTAAGAATATAAGCATTTTACGGGAAAATACACGCTTGTGAAACCAAAAATCATCACAACAGGAAACGTAAACAAACAATGCTAAAATGTGTTATATAAGCCATTTTTTGTATACATATAAGACATATAAATACAATTATCATTTAGATTCATCCTAACCTATCTAAATATGTTATTGTAAATAGTTTAAGCATGCCACTTATTCAGTTTGCTCTGTTCTTCTACGTCAATTTAATAGTGCATTTATTTATGGGAACGGCAAATAATGTCTTCACCTAGAACAGTTGCCATATTTGTCCTATTAAAATCGAAATAATTCATGGGGGCTTGAATATATCGTGATCGCTCAGGGTAAAATATTTGTCATAAAGGGCCAACCCGTGGTAAAATCACGATATGTTTAAGCCCCCATGAATTATTTCTTAAATAAAACAGTGCCTGTTTGATTGTCTGAAGCAAGATTTTGACAGCCAACTGACATGACTGAGTAATTTAATTAAATGTTCAAGCTACATGTATAGATAGGTGATTCAAAATCTTTGTTTTCAATATTATTTATGTAAACCAATACCAGTTATATATATATTTATAAGACATGTATTACCTAAATAAGACTTAGTAAGTTAGTAGTCATAATTTAGCTATAGAATGTGGACGTTACTCTGCAATTTCTAAAAGTAATAAACTCTGTATTTTTTGTAAGGATGACATTGAGGATGAGATACATTTCCTCAATTTAAAATGTCCCACTTATCAAGGTCTTTAATAGATCTTATTTTATTAAACCTTATTATTGGAGAAAACCTTCTACAAAATGTATATGTATAAACATGATAAACATGATAAACATATATATACATTAAATGAGTTTGAATAATCTTAGAGAGCTATGTAATTTTGGTAAATTCATATTTCGTGCACAAAAATTAAGGTCTAACATGTTGTAATACATTTCACACTACCTTCTGCTATCTATGTTTAATGTGTGTAGTTTATATGTTGTATGCCTTTAGTTGTTATGACTTTGGTAAATAAAGATTATACTTACATGTAGGTTGTAAGCTGGTATTTACATGTAATTACACAGTTAAATGAATTAAATGCACACAATATTTAAATTAAACTGTTACTGACTCGATATTCTATAAATTCATCAAACAGTAACTGAGCTTGTTATATACATACATGTAGTTAAACATTTTCCAAAGTACAGTTTGGTACAATGGAAATTACTTCAAGCAACATTTCAGTTGTGGTTGTGTATAAAATAAGAAATGTTCATCAAACAATTCTTTATTTTCACACTCAAAAAATTATCTATTGATTTCCAAGGTCAGACATGTCAGAGGTCAAGATGGCAAGACAAAGTTTTTGATTTAATCTATATCATATAACCATTGAAATTGACGCCTTTTTTTATAATGATAAAAGGGTTACAAGAGTAACAAGCAAATCTAAATGAGCAAAATGAAAGAACTGATTTTGATCATTACTGAACCCCTAATAAAATGCACCCTTATGAAATTTTGATAAAAAAAAAAAAGTTTCATACATGTACATGTATATTGTTTACTTGTAGGTTCCGAGCATCAAAGGGTTGTTAATGAAATAAAAGAAGAAGATGTTGTATATGATGTTTTTGCTGGTGTAGGACCATTTGCTATACCTGCTGCTAAATCAAGGAAAGCTATTGTTTTTGCCAATGACTTGAATCCTAGTTCTAATGAAAGTCTCTGTAAGAACATCAAACTAAACAAAATTAAGACAGAGATACACTGCAGTAATTTAGATGGAAGAGAATTCATCAAGACAATAGTCAAACCTGATATTTTAAAAAGATGGGAAAATTATATGGAAACAGGAAATAAGACAAATTTGAAAGTTGTTATGAATTTGCCAGCTCTTGGTATTGAGTTTACTGATACATTTCAGTCATTATTTGCTGATATTGATGATAATATAAAACCTACATCATCAGATTTACTTCCTTATATGTATGTGTATTGTTTTACAAAGAGTGAGACTCCTGAAGCTGATGTGAAACAGAGATTAGAGAGTACAATAGGATCACAATTACCAGATAACTTTACCATTCATAATGTTAGAAATGTAGCCCCTAATAAAGAAATGATGTGCGTGTCTTTCCATATGCCAGCTGAGGTTCTATTCAGGCAAAAACCAGAGGAGGGTAAGCTGAATGTTTATTCCTTAATATTAATTTATTCCACACGCATGATTTACTATATCAGCAGAACCATAGCTCTTATGGAAATAGGGATGATTTTTTTGTATTTACAGCCCACAAATACAAAAAAATATCCCAACTGAATACTATTCATTTGAGTTTTTGATGGATTCATTTTTATCTGTGTTCTTACAACTTACTATCTTTTAAAGAAATTTATTCTTTGTTAAACACAAGTACCTGACTACTATGACTACTGGTGTTATGTGTAATTACTTGTACACATCCTGAAAAAGCTTAAGTAAAGTAGACACAAAGATATTCATTTAAAAGTTGCTCTTGCTTGTGGTGATTGAATCACATTCAATCAGGGTGATAGCTGGTGATTTAGATAAATAAAAAGTCTGATTTACAACCATGTCATATAATATTTTTTGAACATACAGAGATATATTTCAGTTCTAATCACCCATAATAACCGCCATTGTGTCACCACAAAAAAATGTTGTCTTATGCCATCTCTTAATGATTTTTTTACCATTACTTTTTGGAGAACTTTGTGGTAATTATCTCTGTTTGATTTATTCCAACTGTTTTCACCCTGGCATAGCCTGGGATATTTAGGGTTCGACATATTGTATAGACACCTGTCAACCGACTCACGTCCGTTTATTGTTGAAGACTGCATGTTGACCTCAAGATGGCTTTAAGTTATTAATCTCATTGTGTTGCTGTCTCATTGATATATACCCAACATCTTCTTTTGGTCATACATTTATTTGTTATTGAAAACTTTGTTATATTTTCTATAGGAGAGATATTGTAAGATAAATATTCTGACCATTTTTTTATGTTGATTTACATGTACATATAAAGAATATTGACTTAATGAATGATTTATCAGTAACCAGACATGTTTGTATTATATAGATATATGTCATATGCATCATGGTCATAGACTGAAGTGAAACTTTAAAATATTGATTTACTTTTATTTTTTAGGTTGTGGACCAGAAGTGAAGAAAAGAAGGATAGAACTTGAAGAAAATAACAGTTGATTTTACATTTGTTTATTAATTGTCACTTTTTGTATCTTCACCGAAACTGCTTGGTCAAATTTAACCAAACTTGACAGGAATGATGTAGGGCAGGTTTTTAACAAATGATCCTTATTTGGTTCTGATTGGAAGAAAAACATGGCTACCAGAGAAAAAAAAATTGATTCTGATTGGCCAATTGTCAAAAATCTTCACTGAGATGACAAGTCAGAAAATGATGAAATTTCAGGGGAATGATAAAAACAAAGCCATTTTAAGCTAAATTTCTCAGACATTTATACCTTGAGTAATTAAGGGGTAAATTTGCACGGAGCCTCTAATTTGGTTAAATTCCTATACTTCCTTTAAGGTAATGTTAATCCACATTGATATCTATAAACAATTACATAAGAGTTGTAGCATAATCTTGACTTGAAGTCACCATCTTACCTTAAAAGGTTGTATGTAGTGTGATGAACTCATTGATTAAATCTTATTAGTCCCCTACAGACGAAGTCTAAGGGGATTTTAGGTTTGCACTCTCTCTGTCCATCCGTCATTCCGGCAAATCAGTTTTCCACACTTTTTTTCTTCGTGCTTGTAGGTATTTATTTGATATTTAGTGTATTGTTTTATCATGATAAGTTACAGATCAAGTTCGAATTTTGTTCCAGTCTGATGATTTTGTGCAGAGTTATGGTCCTTGGACTTAGATAATTCACTAAAATAATCAGTTTTCCTCCCTTTTTTTAGTCATGCTTGAAGATATTGACTTGATATTTGTTATATAGTTTACACCATGACAAGTTATAGATCAAGTTAGCATTCTGTTCGAGTACAATGAATTTTTAACCGGTAGGGGACATGTAATACTCTCAGAATGCTTGTTTCATAATATTTTACATTTTCATCTAATTCAAAACTAGACAGGAACTGAGAGCAGAACTTACACTATGGTTCAAAAGACACAATATAAAAATAAGATGTGGCATGATTGCCAATGAGACAACTTTCCACAAGAGACCAAATGATGTAGAAGTAAGGAACAATAAACAGATTTAACTTTGCTATAACATATCAAATTAAAATTTATGGATGCCTTTTTATTGAAATTTTATTCATTCATATAACAACATTAACTGTAAAATGAAATGCACATCCTTAAGTCTGGACACTCAGAATGACCATACTTGACTTTATATAATAAGATGGTATCTTTGATGAGTTTATTTATGTTTGCTATTTGTCATGCATGTTCAAATAGTTCTATTTACTTTTTATAATGTTTCATAAAGTCTAACAATATGTATTAAAAGTGTACACTGAAGCAAATGCTTGGTTTATACCCTGCTGTTCTAGTTCTACATTGTATAAGATAAAAATCTTCTAAATTACATTCCATGTTCTTGTTGACTATTTCCTTTTACCTGTTTAACATTTAAGACAGATTTCAGTGTGTCAAGAATGTCTATTTTTTAATTCTAAGGTTTATTTTCTATATGAATTTTAAGAATTTTATAATCTGTCTAGTAAATATTGTGTCTTTGTAAGCTATTTAAAACATTTTGAATCAATACGATTAGATGAATTACATGTATTATTTTATCATTCATATTGTGAATTTAATGTCTAAATTTAAATCAGCCATTTTTTCCTGAAAAAATTTATCGAACTTTTCATTCTGTGCTACTGTAAAAACCTTCTTCCATCCACCCACTTTACCTGTAATATACAAATATTTAAAATATATCCATTCTTGTTAAATCATAGCAGTGCTTCAAATATAATTAGAAAAAGAAGGTCAATGAGACTGCAACCATACAGCACAAAAAAAAACAAAAACAAAAAACATTTAAAAATTGACTTATGGGACGTATTATGGTAAACCGTTGACCGTCCGTCCGTCCGTCCATCCGTCGTCAACATGTCGGACATTAACTCAAAAAAGCTTTAACCAATATGCATGAAACTTTGGTGAATTGTTTATATCTATTGACGTGAGCTCCCTTTCGTTTTTTATAAATTTCAGATTTACCGTTTCCGAGTTTTGGGGTTTTATTCATTATAAAAGGGGGGATTTTCCAGTTTTCAAACAATAACTCAAGAATGCTTTCACCAACTTGCAAGAAATTTTGGTGAATTATTTATATTTATTGACTTGAGCTCCCTTTTGAAGTTTTATAAATTTTAGATTTAACATTTCTGAGTTGTATACAGGGTTTTATTCATAAAAAAGGGGGATTTTCAAGTTTTCGGACAATAACTAAAAAATGCTTTCAGCAGTTCTCTTGAAACTTTGGTGAATTGTTTATATCTGTTGATGTAAGCTCCCTTTAGAATTTAATAAATTTTACATTTTACATTTCTGAGTTGTGGGGTTTTATTCATTAAAAAAGGGGGGATTTTCCAGTTTTTGGACAATAACTCAAAAATGCTTTCAGCAGTTCTCATGAAACTTTGGTGAATTATTTATAGCTATTGATGTAATCTCCCTATTGATTTTCATAAATTTCAAATATGACATTGAGAAGAAATTGAACTTTATTTGTTTATAGTCTGACAACAGATTTACTTAGTAGTTCGCAACAGCACAGTGTATTGCACAACAGCAAGAAATCTTTAATTGAATATAACTTCAATTCATATAACCAATTTCAAATTCTTTGACTACATTTATTCAGAAACCTATAATGTGTCAAATATTTAATTACAATCCAAATTCAGACCTGTATCAAGCTTGAATATTGTGTCCATTTTTGCCCCAACTGTTCAGGGTTGGACCCCTGAGGGCGTATCTAGCTGCGCTCAGCGAAGCAGTTTATTAGTAATAGTGTCAATACCATTTGTCAAATTTGAAATTTCCTGAAGTCTAGATGGTGATTTTTAACAGAGCAAGTGACTGTTAAAATATCCATCTCAGTTTCTATATAAATGTTAATTCTAGAGTTATATTCTTCTGTTGATCAGTTATGACAATTTATTTTAGAAGTCAATATAGAAGACAATATTTGTTCACAACTGGTACCTAATTAAGCAAAATCTTTATTATCTTTGTTGTATATCTATATGTCCCACTTAACATCTGGTCTTGGTATCATATATATTCCCTTTCATGTAATTTTTAAAAGGTTGTGTCTAGTTGTAGTTATTTTGTTGTTAATTAAATTATTATCATGAATGTTTCAAAATAATAAATTACCCTCTCTAAAGATACCAGCAGTGTTTTCTTTCCAATGACTTTTAATGCTAAATTTATCCTTTTGCATCACTTGAAATTGACACTTGTCTTGGATATCTTTTAACAACTTTTCATCATATGGTTTCTCTAGAAAGTTTGCTAACTTTCTTATTTCTTCAATGCCATTCTGAAAAAAACTATGTGCTATAAATACTGAAAGATTATTTTATGCACCACCTACAATAGTAGGGGCCATTATGTTTTTCGATCTCTTTTTCTTTTCATGCATTCTTCTATCCTGTATCAGGTTTTGAACTATAAGATTTTTAACACAACTTTGCTATTCCTTTTCCAAATTAAAATAATTCAGTTGGAATGGCTACAAATTATACCCGATTCTAGATAATTGTCGAATCGCTTTTAAATTAAGTGGATGAAATTAAAACACTGATGCTAAAAAAGATAAGCAAACGCACAAAACAAATGCACATCGGCCAATATTAGATAGTAAGGCATGGAAGCTATATTTATGCAGGTTAAGTTCTCTGAACTAGCTTTCATTCACTGCCAGCATGTATGTATTATTTAGCATTGATTCACAGGAACATGTGTTTTTGTATTAGAAAAAACAAAGGATATGGGGTATCCATCCAAGACACAAAATCAGTACATGTTGTAGTCTATATTACTGTATAGCCGAGAAATTTTTTCTGAATTAATTTTTGTTGTATGTTAATTTGTACCTTTGCTTATTATGATCTATTATTCCACTTACTTAGAATAAAAAAAGGTGAAGGTGAATGTTCAAAATCTAGTTGAACTCAACCACATGTTGAATATGTGCCTATGTCCAGTTTGGAACTTAGTCAGGGGTTGTCCGTAAGGGAATATTGGATTTATCTTCGATATTCTCTGTTACATTTACTAACAACTTCAGTACCTATGTTGACTAGGTGTAGATTTAGCGCTTGACCTATTGATTACTCAACGCATTTTATTCATTTTTATAAAGCATGCAGAACTTATTTCATTGCTCCTTCAAATAAGTGTAAGATAGATATTACATATGCAGGTGTTACGGGAATGTTGCTACCAAAACATGGAAAATCTACAATGCTTAATCACAAGTTATTTCAACTTTCTTAAAGTTGAGTTCTTAACTGACTATCACTGTCAAATTCTAGGTGGCTAAGGTAAGTAGCATACAAAACTTTATCTGTGGTATCTTATGTTTCTGGTTTAGCGTGATAGATGCTACCAAAATAGTTATTGATTTCAAAATTGTAGTGAGAGGACACCTACTACATACAAAATCTAGAAGTTAAAAGGTTAACTTAGGATTTTTATGCCCCCGCCATAGCGGTGGGGCATTAAGTTTTACCCTTGTACGTCCGTCCGTATGTCCCAAAATTGGTTTCCGTTCTCTAACTTGAGTTTGCCTCAACCAAATGTTATGAAACTTATACACAATGCTTATTACCACAAAACACAGATCAAGTTTGAATTTTGGTGGCGTCACTTTAACCGTGCTAGAGTTATGCCCTTTATAAATGGAAAAATTGCAAAATTTTTAGTTTCCGTTCTCTAACTTAAGTTTGCCTCAACCAAATGTTATGAAATTTATACACAATGCTTATTACTACAAAACACAGATCAAGTTTGAATTTTTGTGGCGTCACTTTAACCGTTCTAGAGTTATGCCCCTATATAAATGGAAAAATTGCAAAAAAATTTTTTTTCTAAAGTTAACAAAGTCACCAAGCTCTGAATTACCTGTTGCATATCTTATATAATGTGATGATGGTTACCATACCTGTTGCATATCTTATATAATGTGATGATGGTTACCATACCTGTTGCATATCTTATATAATGTGATAATGGTTACCATACCTGTAGCAAATCTTATATAATGTGATGATGGTTACCATACCTGTTGCATATCTAATATAATGTGATGAGGGTTACCATACCTGTTGCATATCTTATATAATGTGATGATGGTTACCATACCTGTTGCATATCTTATATAATGTGATGATGGTTACATACCTGTTGCATATATTATATAATGTGATGATGGTTACCATACCTGTTGCATATCTTATATAATGTGATGATGGTTACCATACCTGTTGCATATCTTATATAATGTGATGATGGTTACATACCTGTTGCATATCTTATATAATGGGATGATGGTTACATACCTGTTGCATATCTTATATAATGTGATATTGGCTCCCATACCTGTTGCATATCTTATATAATGTGATGATGGTTACCATACCTGTTGCATATCTTATATAATGGGATGATGGTTACATACCTGTTGCATATCTTATATAATGTGATGATGGTTACCATACCTGTTGCATATCTTATATAATGTGATGATGGTTACCATACCTGTTGCATATCTTCGTAATGAATAACATGTATAGGATAATCCTTATGTTCCTGTATGGCCCTGTGCCAGCTACGTATAGTGTCAAACCAGGACATATAATCAACTGAAATAGATTAATTGTTTGATAGGAACTGAAGAAAGTTGTTATATATATTCTTCAATAGAAAATAAAGGATATGTGGTATACATCCATGACCCAAAATCAGTACATGCACAGCAAAAATACAATAAAACACACAAAAAGCAAAGGAACAGCGCTTTTATTCACCAAGTACTTACTGGTGAATTTTTTCCTTGTTGGAATTTAAAATTGTAAATTGAGAGGGTAAAAATGGTGATTTTGATATATGATATTATTTTCGTGCACACACACACACGAGTTTCTTGAGTAATCTTTATCAGGTATGCTCAAAGCACAATTATGTTTGGAAAGTCCGTAATACCACATGTTTGAGAGCATATAAAATGTAAAAAGGGTCAACTTTGCTTTAAATTAGGCTTTAAAGGAGCATTAGCTGCCATTTAGACCAAAAAAATAAAATGCGATTTTTGTTTGTTTCAAACAGCTATAAAAGCGGATTTATGAAATACTATTTCGCTATTAATGAAATACCATTTCGCTATTAGTCGTCAGTTTGGTTCAATATGGTCAAAATACTCTCGAAAACATCCCAAATGTATTATAGACTTGCCAGTGAATAATAATTCAAACTCAGTTGAACCCGTATTCATGTAACCCTATCTTGACCCTTAGCTGAAGATGGATTACGCATGTTCAGTTATATCATCTTATATATATAAAAAAAAAATGAATGTCACCATTGAAAGAGACATGGGTGATCCACCATAAAAAAAAATTTTTTTTACCGATTCGGACCACAAGAAATCATTCATATCCAGGTAAAAGTGTGATTTACCTTTTTTTTATATAAATCTACGACCTGAAATCAAACAGACCTCGACAAATCATAATTACGTAACTCCATTGATGTGCTTCTCCGTCTATTTATATTCATATTTATGTTTATATCGAGTCGAATGATTATCAACAGTCTTCGGAGGTAATCTCGATGGTTAATTAGATGGTGTCTAGTCTTAAATACAGACGAAATGCTGATACATAATTCCGAGTCTATGCATTGTTAATGGATTTTTTGAAATGTATACGGTATGCTATAAATCAATTATGAGAATTTAAGTCAAATCAGTGATCATAAATTTGACAGCTAATGCCCCTTTAAAACAATTACAAAATTTCATGAACTTGGTTTTCAGACATTGGTTGAATGATTGGTGATTGCTTTACGTTGCATCAGCACAAAATGCTATAACGCGTCGAGCACAGACAAAGAGTATTTGTGTTTGAATTTGAAATACTGAAGCATTAGTGACTGTTGCTCTCGTGGACTAATTACCACAAACAGCATTGTCGACCAAGTGATAGTATCAAAGATTTTCATAAATATATTTTCTGGTGTACATAACCTTATCTTAAATCTAGTCAAAGAAGTCTGAGCGAAGTTGAAAATATCCTCGACTCAAAACAAATGTTAAGAGTGTTTTATAAAATACTCTGGTTATTGATTTTATGACGTTAAAACCAGCTATCGTTATAATAAGGATTGTTTGAAGATTCTTTTCTCGAATTTTGACATTATATATCTACCTCACATCTTACAAAGTCTACCCGAATTATTTTGCAAAGAATCCGCTGAAACCGTTGCTAGAGGCCTTCTTAAACTTGCAGAGAGGTGAGAGCTTGTTTGCTCAGTGTTAAAGGCCTCAATGTGACTTTGAGATGAAGAACAGCAATAAAAGCGCTGTTCCTTTGCTTTTTGTATGTTTCTTGCTGTGCATGTACTGATTTTGTGTCATTAATAATTACCCCATATCCTTTATTTTTCTATCAACATACAATAAAAGGACTCTCAAAATCCAGGAATGTATGTAATAGTTATACACCGAGGGATAGGTGTGTCTGGATAAGAAACCCCGTCGGCCGGAGGCCGGAGGGGTTTCTTATCCAGACACGCCGTATCCCGAGGTGTATAACTAACTTACACCCCATTCTAAACCCTATATTTGTTAACATTGATTATTAAATGAAAAAAAACGATATCATATTTATTGACAATATGAAACCATGATTTATAAAAATATTTTTTTATATTACATGAAACCCCACTAGTAACCTTTCTTTGGTTATCTTCGTTCAAACTTTGACAAGTGAGTATATTTTACAAATTTCAAAGTTGTTTTGCATATTCCCGTTAAATCCTATGCTAATATGGATCAGCAGGTCAAGGTTGAATGTTTCGTGTATTCTTATTACAAACAAAAAATACATCATGGTCCTGGTATACAGTTGTCAATATGGACGGGTATAAGACGGACGATATTTTGTGGCAAGCGTTGGATTTGGTAGAAGAGACTAAAGATAAAGGCAATATTATAACCCAAAGTACTTACCTGTATCAGTTTAATAAAGGTAATCATAACTGTATTTTATATCTTACGATTTTATCAAAAACAAAAGCCTCCCCCCCCCCTTCTCGAGAATAAACAAACATTCATATTCGAACATACTAAAGGATAGGTGTGTCTGCATCAAAAACCCTACTACCAGACACGCTCAACATACTGTACAATATTTAATATAGAGGCACTCCCTTTTTGGGGGCACTCAGGGGCTGATCCCGGGGGCTCCCAACTCAAGAGAAAAGGGGGGGGGGGTCCAAGCATTCAAATGCATTGATCTTTTAAATAAAAGTCGGGTCCAACCCGCGGAACCCCCAACCGCGGATCGGCCACTGGGTAACCGGGGAGGGGGGGTCCGGGAGTTAGAATCCCCATTTTTTTTAAAGATCAATGCTTTAGAATAGAGACATATGACTGGGATAAAAAAAAAATACTTTCAAGCAAAAGAGTATTTAAAGGATTATTTTTGTATTCCATATAGATGCCTGTTGGAATTTCCTAAAATGTGTTTTTTTAATATCATGAAACAATTTGTAGTGAACACTATTAGTAATTTCTTATGTTCATGCTATTTAAAAAATAATCAATTTCTATTGTTACGAATAACAATGGACTTTGTTTTGCGGGATGTAGAAGCAGGGGTTTCCAGAAACCCCGCTCGTCACACCCTGTGGTCAAAATCCATTGTTATTCGTTACAATAGATCTATTCAATTCACACATGTTTCAGAAATAGAAACTATGAAGTATAACAATAGAACTGGGGTGTAATGAATTTTCTGTAACATAAAATGAATTTAGAATTTATTTTTCTAGTTCCCATTAAAACTTTTGTGGATACTTTGTCTGTACTCAGAGAAGATTTTGTGTAAACACGACCAAATTTGTCAACTCCTGACGATATTGTAACGGTTTTTTTCTTCCTCTGTGATATTTTATCCTGGGGATAATTTGTCACATATGTTTTTTTCCAGACATCATATTTCACAGGTAGATTTTATCCAGAGGAGTGAAATTCTATCTGTCTTATGCGGATAGTATTAACCAGGATATATTTTCTGTTCCATATTTCACAGAACCTTGTGAAATTAGAGTCCCACTGTCTACTATACAAGGTTCCCACAATCAATATATACCTGACCATAATTATAAATGTTTCACCAAGGTAGAACATATTTGCATAATTTATCAATCAAAGGGAGATAATTATGAGCCATTTATATTTTACAGATATTATATTCCAGAGACCAGAATCTATTTTATAGTGAAATTTTTCTTTATTCTCAATTTTTTATATTAATTTATATAAAAAGATGACTTAAAACATGATTTAAAAAAAAAACTATATTTCTACTTACTTTTTTATTTGTACTGAGATCTGAAAACAACTCACATTTACCTGTATTTCATTTACCTAATTTTATACATGTATATTAAATTGATCATGATATTATTTCACAATTAAGAACTGTGAAATTACTTCTGGTTTTGTTTCATATGTTTCATGATATTTGTCTTTTAAAAGAATGATATTTACTTCAATATTTCAGGATATTATTTTCAATTATAATCTGTGAAATTATTTCCCATTATAATACATTTATTTGGTTTTTTATTTACTAATTTAGCTTATATTCAAATACACTATTATTAGTACATATTAGTTGCAAAGATTAAGTTTTTTTATTAACTATTCAATATTTTAACTTCCCAGATAGAATTTCACAGCATATGATAATATATCACAGTGAAATATTTTCCTCCGGATTAAAAAATAACAACAACTTCTGTAACATTTTTTCCCCCAGATGATATTTCATCCAGATAGAATTTAGCTTTACAATATCGGTGATAAAAAATAAGAAAAGTTTAGCTAGTATTTACTTTGATATTAACCAGTTTATCTATATTTGTTTAATTTTGCAGGGAATTCTATCTTCAATGTGGTGCTCATGACTCATGAATATGGGACTTGAAGAGAGGGAAATCCCCCAAGGTCAATAAAGGGAACATTAGTAGACATTGATACTGCATGGACAAATATGCGGATGAGTTTGATTGTTTATATCTCTTTTTTCATTGTTTCTTTTAGATAATAATTTTATTGGGGAAAACAGTGCATTTTTTTCCCTTTTGGTTTTCCATACCGCAATTATTATGTGACACATTATTACATCAGTAAACCTACCCCTGGAATTGTTTTGATTTCTCTATTCGGGATAACTCGTGTATATTAAAAAACAAACTTACGATTCCCCTCTAAAAATCTGTTTAAGTAGCCATCCCAAGATCCATCATAGTTATAAAAACACAATCCACGATGATGGTGATAATATGATACAGCAACATCTTTGGGATTTCTCACGGTATAAACTATCTTACATTTCCGTCTTAGAGAATCTTTTGGAAGCATGGAAAAGTAAACATGTGTATTCAGTATACGAGGGGACGGTAAAGAATCAAACGCTTCTTTTGACAGGCTTTCCATCATGCATTTCATTTTGGAGTGTTCTATCAATTCTGGCTTCTGTGCATACAGAATCTGGATAATTTCCCACACCCAATGGGTTCCTGTTAATAAATAATATTACAAATAAAAGAACTACCACTGAACAATATTTTCAAATCTTGCAAGGCCATTTCTTAAAAATACAGTGTCACTCAAAATAACCAAAATGTGCAGAATAACATATGGAATTTATTAAAAACCAAACTTTAAAGCCCTAGATTATAAAGTTTTTTGTCTATGTGAATTATTCAGGTGTTAATAGTTCCTGGGCTTTCAGATTTTTGTTTGGTGTTCTTGGTGAAGGTCAATCCAGAAAAGCGCTTCAGTCGCACGACATTTATAAATTTTATAAATAGTTATTTTCATTTTAAAACCAGTAGATAATCATTCTTTTTACAAAAGCAAGGAAAACAATAATGTGAATGCATGTATAAAGATTGCGGTCCAGATGTGAAATAAATTGAACAAAATTGTTTTATTCTTTTTCTTCGTCCAATGACTCAGGAAATTTGTCAGTCTCGCTTTCAATTTTTCAATTTCAAATTTTATTTTGCAAACACATTTGTACCACATACAAACATGCCAAACCTTTAAATAGACTTATTCAGAAGGGATGTAGTTACGATACTACAGATCATTAAAGATAGAATTTTTGGGAATTAATATTGATTCACTCATAGGGTCTTTGCATCGGAAATAAACACATTTATTCTAAAACCTGTTGTTGGCATGATACAGTTTATGTTCTTCTCATATATTTCATGATGGTATGATACTAAACCCCTAATGGGAGGGATTGTGCTTGATTTTCATATGATGAAGACATTATCTTTCAATCAGTTTAATTGAGGTCTGGAGCTGGCATGTCAGTAACTGCTAGTAGTCCTTTGTTAATTTATGTTATCATTGTCATTTTGCTTAGTTTATTCTGTTACCTATTCTATCATCGGACTCAGACTTCCTTTAAACTGAGTTTTACTGTGCATATTGCTATGTGTTTGTTTATTCTACATTGGCTAGAGGTAAAGGGGGAGGGTTGAGATCACACAATACATGTTTAACCCCGACACATTTTTGCGCCTGTCCCAAGTCAGGAACCTCTGGCCTTTGTAAGTCTTGTATGTTTTTTTTTATTTTGGTTCATCTATTTGTTTCGGAGTTTAGTGTGACGTCCATTTTCACTGAACTAGTACACATTTTATTTAGGGGCCAGCTGAAGCCTGCGTCCGGGTGCGTGATTGTCTTGCTGTGTTGAAGACCCATTGGTGGACTTGGGCTGTTTTCTGCTCTTCGGTTCCGGTTGTTGTCTCTGACACATTCCCCGTTTACATTCTCGATATACCTTTATACTTATATTAAATATGAATGAGATTTTGTCATTTATCTTACATCCTTTTTATCATCATAATTTTTCATTTGTCTAAAAAGCTTTGGATCCGTATTAAGTCTTTTTAAACTCACTGCTCTTTGAAGATACTTTGCCCTTATATATATCTAATATTATAAACACATGAACGAGACACAGCTTTACTTTACATATCGACAATTTTTATTACCAGATTTTGGGTAATTACAAAGTAATACGTCATCATCTCTGGCTAAATAATGATCTGCTATTGACCGTACGTCACTTTCCTGACTTGGAAAGTTGAAATCGGGTAAATAGAACCCATCTACATCTAGAACTGTCATGCATTTCCCTTCCGAGTCTAGTAGATTCTTCCGTGGCATCTGAAATATACAATATCTTGGTTAATATTGAAGATTGGATATTGATATTCCAGAAGAATATATGATTATTAATTTGTGGGAACACATGCCTTTCTTTGTATCTTTTATTTTCCTTTTACAAGTTATGCCTAAAGTAAAACACGAAAAGTAACTGAATGTGTCAGATATCATTATACCTAACATAAACCAACACGAAAACTGCTCCTTTAACAATTAACTTTCAACAAGTATGATCGGCTTTTCTGGACGAGAGGCGAACGAATACATTACAGTACAATTCCGTGTTGAATTTCCTAGATATAAATATGATTGTCGTATTTTCAAAAGTGTAATGCATTCATTATGAGGTATAAAATTATAGGGTTAATGCTATTTTTCTACTGGATCGATTGTCAGCTCTGCTGGTGGACTGTTAGTACCTTAGATTATAACCAGCCAAAAAGTAAGTACTTCGGTACTAACATGAAAATACGGATATTGTTTTTATCAAGGAAATTCGCATTATAAAGTTTTGGAAACTATTTCTAATCTGAGGAATGTATCTTCCTCATGCACAGCTCCGATTCTTTGCCAGGAGTGGGCTTCACTTACGGAAATTGGTTTTTTAAATTTTTGAGCTCTTTAACGTTTGTATTATGTTTTGGATTTTTAAATATTTTGGCCTGCAGCATCACTAAATAAACCCTAATTGTCGAAATATGCGTCTGGTGCAGTATAATTGATATCGTTTAATAATATTACTTCACTTGGGTAGATATTTCTGCTAATGGACTGCTAATCCCCGTGTGTATTACCAACCCAGTAGCCAGTACTTCGGTACTGGCATGAAAATACGGATATTGTTTTATTGAATTTGCTTCATAAAATTTTAGAAGTCCATTTGAAATGAGAAATGTAACACCCTCTTCATAGCGGATTCTTTATCCAGTTGGGCTTAAATTATAGAACTTTTTGTTTTGACCATCTCTTGGATTTGGAAATATTTTGGGTCTGAGCATCACTGAAGAGACATTAAATTATCGAAATGCGCATCTGTTGCACTTAAATTTGGTATCGTTGATGTTAATTATCAGACAAAATGTTTGAAATCCACATTCCATTCAATATTATATTAACGTCTGGCTTGTAGTTATAAATACAAATGTCAATATAATACACCAGTATACTAAATATAACCAGAATAATATTGTTTTGGCTTTTTTTTTACATAGACTTGATAAAAAGATATAAGAAGATGTGGTATGAGTGCCAATGAGACAACTCTCCATCCAAGTCACAATTTGTAAAAGTAAACCATTAAATTTATAGGTCAAAGTACGGCCTTCAACACGGAGCCTTGGCAAGCTATAAAGGGCCTCAAAAATGACTAGTGTAAAACCATTCATAAAGGAAAACCAACGGTCTAATCTATATAAATAAATGTGGATTGTGGACACAGATGATGCCCCCGCTTGCATATCATATAGTTATAAAGGGACATATAAACCGAAGAACGGTGAAAGTGACTCTACCCAAATTTGATCTTAATCTGAGTTTTGTGGTAATAAGCATTGTGTATAAGTTTTATAACATTTGGTTGAGACAAACTAAAGTTAAAGAACAGAAAAGAAAAAATCAGCAATTTTTATGTTTATAAAGGGGCATAACTCAAGAATGGTAAAAGTGACGCAACCGAATTTCATACTTAAACTGTATTATGTAGTAATAAGCATTGTGTATAAAGTTTCATTACATTTGGTTGAGGCAAACTAAAGTTAGAGAACGGAAACAAAAAATTTGAACTTGATCTTAGTTTTGTGGTAATGAGTATTGTGTATAGGTTTTATAATGTTTGGTTGGGCCAAAATTAAGTTACAGAATGGAAACTAAAAATTTTGCAATTTTTCGATTTCTAAAGGGGAATAACTTAATAATGGTTAAAGTGACACTACCCAAATTCAACTTGATCTGTGTTTTATCAGTGGAAGGCAAAATTAAACATTGCATTGTATAAAGCATTGATTGTAGTTGATTCAACTTTAATCATGGACAAAGGAAGATAACTTCAATTTTAAAAATTACTTGAATAATGACATTGATATTTTTAGAAAAAAAAATGAAAAATTTAGCAATTTTTCCATTTGTAAAGGGGCTTAACTCTAGAACAGTAAAAGTGACGCCACCAAAATTCAAACTTGATCTGTGTATTGTGGTAATAAGCATTGTGTATAAGTTTCATAACATTTGGATGAGGCAAACTTAAGTTAGAGAACAGAAATCAAAAATTTTGCAATTTTTCCATTTATAAAGGGCATAACTCTAGAACGGTTAAAGTGACGCCACCAAAATTCAATCTTGATCTGTGTTTTGTGGTAATAAGCATTGTGTATAAGTTTGATAAGATTTGGTTGAGGCAAACTTTAGTTAGAGAACAGAAACCAATTTTGGGACGTATGTAGGGACAAGGGTAAAACTTAATGCCTCCTCTGCTTCGGCGGGGGCATAAAAACGAGAAACACTTATGAACCACATCAACAAACGACAACCACTGAACATCAGGTTCCTGACTTAGGACAGGTGCAAACAAATGCAGCGAGTTAAAACGTTTTAATAGGCGCCAACCTTCACCCTACCTGAAACAATAGTGTAACATCACAACATAGAAAGACACACTATAAAATATAAATTGAAATGGCTTAACTCAATCAAAAGACATATTAACAAAAACAAATGAACATACACTGAACGAATAAATTTGATCTATGACACTATGTAAATACAAAATTAATAAAACAAGGGGGTTAGATGTAAAACAATACCAGAAAGACAACCATAACCTTGGACAAAATGCCGCCAAATAAAATAACGTACACAGGTAAATAAAAATTATTTTGTTGTAAGGTATACATGGAGTACGGGAATAATTTTTACAAAATAAATAATTTTCTTGTTCCTAGTACGAGAACAAAAGTGAAAATTTATCGTCATATATTAAAAATAGTGAGACGAGATATAACACTAAATAAGTAAACATTAAATAACAAAAATACATTACAAATTGTATCAACAGGTCAAATCAACACGAAAGTACGATTTGAGAGTACTCCCAGTAACTGAAAGCTAGTTAAAAGCCAAAAACAATTAATAATAAAAAATCATGCATCAGAGACTGATAAAGTACTTTTGTGAATACGACACAAATCAGAGAGTTTTAAACTTTCTATACACCATACAATATGATTGTTTACATGTATCTATTATACAGTTAAGTTAATCTAATTAAGTGTAACAATGTTATCTTATACAGTACCATCATAAACAAATGAAGTTTAGAAAATCACAAATCCATCCTCCTTCTTTTGACGTAACAGACATTCAAAAGGACGAACAAATAGATTGGATATAAAAACTGCATAAAATGCTAATAAAGAACAATAAATAGCCGGCTCATCTTCATGTCCTATTAAACATCTTGCTTACGATTATTTTTACAGTAGAGGATGGCCTGCAAAAATATCATAATGAGGTATAAACAACGAGTGGTGTAAATCAGATGTTGATTCTTAGATATCTACAAATGTCTGATCCAAATTTTTGAATTATTTAATGTGTTTAAAAGGGGAGTGTCTTTTTACCACAGAATACCACAGAACACCAAAAATATACCACAGAACTTCAAAATATAAATACTTCAGACATTATATTATTGTTATTGTTAATTCTTTTTATAATATGACATTTATTATTCAAATAAATTTAATTTTTCTGTTTAGGGTCGACTCACTATCGCTATGCCCCCAACTGAATTGGCCTGTTATTGGGTCTATACCAAAAACACCTACCGGTATTAAAACCATAATATACAAAAAATATTTAAAGTCACAACAATTGTAATTCCGGGGTATATTTGTGACATTTACTTTTTTTTTAAATACGTTTTAATTTGTCCAAAATGATGATCTGAGCGAGTTCACCGGCACATTAAAAGTACCAAAATTTAATTAGATTATCTAATTCTGACACTCATCGTTATCACCAATTCATCAAGCCAATTAACATGTCATTTAAGTTTTCACACCTAAGACATCAAATACATTTAATTGGGTGTCTTACTGCTATTCCTACATTTTGAAAATAAATATTCCTTCTATTCCTATCTTTCAAAAACAATGGCAATGCTCAATTCGACTATGGTGGCGTTTGAACAATATGAGTCCTAATCGGTTAAACAGAAAAGTTTTCATATGGGCAGACATTATGAGTAAAAAACACAAGTGTCTATGTAACGAAAACATTTTCTGAGTGTAAATTTTGCAGAACATTTGTGTAACATTACAGAATATGTTCATACATGTAGTACTTCAGTTGTCAATACTATTATGTCTCAAATGTTTAGTAAATATGTTGAACAGTGGCAATGCAATTTACAGTCAGAGAAAGCTTTATCTGGTAAAGGTGGTAACAAACTTCCAACATATAACTTATTTAAGAAAAGTTTTGAAACGGAAACTTATTGTACAATTCCAATGTCATTTTCACAAAGGAGTTCTTTTGTCAAATTTCCATGTGGTGTAGCACCACTCAGAATCGAAACAGGGAGATTTGAAAAATTATATTAAAGGAGCGAGTCTGTGATAGTTGTAAGGATATTTTAGAAGATGAAGCCCATGTTATTTTATCGTGTCCTTTATATGACGATTTTAGAAAAAAATTATTTGATGAAGCAACACATTTTAATAGTGATTTTATGTCTTTTGATGATCAACAGAAATTAGTGTTTTTATTTACAGATGCTTATATGATTCGTAGCTGTGCCAAAGCCTTTTGTTAGAACTTTTTTTTATTTTTTCTTCTATTAATATTTTCAAACTGTACATTGATGAAAACTAACTCGTTAGGTTTAATGGATATTTACCTGAAGTTACATGTAATTAGCATTATGTTTTGACAATCTAACCTGATGAATCCCTTGTTTATTCAACTATTCCTACATGGATTTCTTACAAATGACATACAAGATTTTAGGAGGAATAAACCATTCAATTGAATTATACCTTGCATAATCAGATGGCAATTAGAATTCAATCAATTGACAATTTTGTAAATAGTTGATTATTTTGAAATTTATTAACAGAATTGGGAGAACTAACTAAATCTTAATACATTTAGTGTAATTGGCGCCGGTAATATTCATCATGTCAACTTTTTTTTTTGTAGAAAAAGCATTTTATTTTATAGAAAAACATTTTTTTTATAGAAAAAGCTTTTTTTTTTTAAAGAAAAGGCATTTTTTTTATAGAAAAACATTTATTTATAGAAAATCATTTTTTTTTATAGAAAAATATTTATTTATAGAAAATCATTTTTATTTTATAGAAAAACTTTTTTTTTTACATATGTACAATAAAATCCTCCTTCTTTTGACGTAACAGACATTCAAAAGGACGAACAAATAGATTGGATATAAAAACTGCATAAAATGCTAATAAAGAACAATAAATAGCCGGCTCATCTTCATGTCCTATTAAACATCTTGCTTACGATTATTTTTACAGTAGAGGATGGCCTGCAAAAATATCATAATGAGGTATAAACAACGAGTGGTGTAAATCAGATGTTGATTCTTAGATATCTACAAATATCTGATCCAAATTTTTGAATTATTTAATGTGTTTAAAAGGGGAGTGTCTTTTTACCACAGAATACCACAGAACACCAAAAATATACCACAGAACTTCAAAATATAAATACTTCAGACATTATATTATTGTTATTGTTAATTCTTTTTATAATATGACATTTATTATTCAAATAAATTTAATTTTTCTGTTTAGGGTCGACTCACTATCGCTATGCCCCCAACTGAATTGGCCTGTTATTGGGTCTATACCAAAAACACCTACCGGTATTAAAACCATAATATACAAAAAATATTTAAAGTCACAACAATTGTAATTCCGGGGTATATTTGTGACATTTACTTTTTTTTTAAATACGTTTTAATTTGTCCAAAATGATGATCTGAGCGAGTTCACCGGCACATTAAAAGTACCAAAATTTAATTAGATTATCTAATTCTGACACTCATCGTAATCACCAATTCATCAAGCCAATTAACATGTCATTTAAGTTTTCACACCTGAGACATCAAATACATTTAATTGGGTGTCTTACTGCTATTCCTACATTTTGAAAATAAATATTCCTTCTATTCCTATCTTTCAAAAACAATGGCAATGCTCAATTCGACTATGGTGGCGTTTGAACAATATGAGTCCTAATCGGTTAAACAGAAAAGTTTTCATATGGGCAGACATTATGAGTAAAAAACACAAGTGTCTATGTAACGAAAACATTTTCTGAGTGTAAATTTTGCAGAACATTTGTGTAACATTACAGAATATGTTCATACATGTAGTACTTCAGTTGTCAATACTATTATGTCTCAAATGTTTAGTAAATATGTTGAACAGTGGCAATGCAATTTACAGTCAGAGAAAGCTTTATCTGGTAAAGGTGGTAACAAACTTCCAACATATAACTTATTTAAGAAAAGTTTTGAAACGGAAACTTATTGTACAATTCCAATGTCATTTTCACAAAGGAGTTCTTTTGTCAAATTTCCATGTGGTGTAGCACCACTCAGAATCGAAACAGGGAGATTTGAAAAATTATATTAAAGGAGCGAGTCTGTGATAGTTGTAAGGATATTTTAGAAGATGAAGCCCATGTTATTTTATCGTGTCCTTTATATGACGATTTTAGAAAAAAATTTTTGATGAAGCAACACATTTTAATAGTGATTTTATGTCTTTTGATGATCAACAGAAATTAGTGTTTTTATTTACAGATGCTTATATGATTCGTAGCTGTGCCAAAGCCTTTTGTTAGAACTTTTTTTATATTTTCTACTATTAATATTTTCAAACTGTACATTGATGAAAACTAACTCGTTAGGTTTAATGGATATTTACCTGAAGTTACATGTAATTAGCATTATGTTTTGACAATCTAACCTGATGAATCCCTTGTTTATTCAACTATTCCTACATGGATTTCTTACAAATGACATACAAGATTTTAGGAGGAATATATTAATAAACCATTTAATTGAATTATACCTTGCATAATCAGATGGCAATTAGAATTCAATCAATTGACAATTTTGTAAATAGTTGATTATTTTGAAATTTATTAACAGAATTGGGAGAACTAACTAAATCTTAATACATTAAGTGTAATTGGCGCCGGTAATATTCATCATGTCAACTTTTTTTTTTGTAGAAAAAGCATTTTATTTTATAGAAAAACATTTTCTTTTATAGAAAAAGCTTTTTTTTTTTAAAGAAAAGGCATTTTTTTATAGAAAAACATTTATTTATAGAAAATCATTTTTTTTTATAGAGAAATATTTATTTATAGAAAATCATTTTTATTTTATAGAAAAACTTTTTTTTTTACATATGTACAATAAATTGTTTTTAAAACATTTTTTATAAAATATAGTTTAGTATCCAAAAGGTCATGAAGGTCTCCAAATATAAAAAAAAATCTACCAAATAACAAAAAAAGTTATGATCATTAAAGAACTATCTCATCCGGTCAATTGTCCTGTCATTAGTGTAGCCCGAATTATAAAAATAATATAATTCTGAACAATTAGTTTTGCATTTTGTAAAGTAATTCAATGTTCTGTGGTATATTTTAGTAGTTTTATTGTATTTTGTGTAGTTCTGTGGTATATTTTGGGTGTTCTGTGGTATTCTGTGGTGTTCTGTGGTAAAAAGACGCTCCAGTTTAAAGTCATACTATTGGAAATATGGCATGTTTCTGATGAGAAATGGAAAGTGGAAAGCATCACTTTGGCTTAGATTCTAGTTACAAGTAGTCCATCTGTATCATTTTCGAGGAAAAGATCAAGACATGAAGTAGACCTTTTAGTTTCGATAGTACTAGTATCATAAATCTCAAGATGCAGTGGGATGCATTAGATGAAAGCACTGACTTAAATGAGGGTTATTGAGTGACAGGACATCAGCAATATATCAGAAAGTGAAATAAAAGAACCTTGCAATATTCGTTTTTTTTTTTAGAAGGTTCTGTATGAATTCTGCTTATTATGAAATCAAAAACAAGTCACAATTAGCACCCATTGGAATACCGAGTCTGCTCAAACAAATCTACGAAACTCAACAAAGATGTTGTCGATCAAAACATCCAGCCATTTGATGATATTGTGACAATTATGGACTTTTAAATTTAAGAGTTTGTATCTATGTACATGGAGCTTATATATTAATGTTCTACAAGCAGGCTCTATATGGGTGTTAATATTATTATTGTCTGTATTCGGATCACGCCTCTATTGTGCTCTTTCCAATAAATATTGAATTGAATTGATAAATGCATTGACTTTCATACTCATGATTTAAACCATTTATACTTTGCAAACGATAAGGGCCAGATTATATGTAAATCTGGGTAATGGTTACCTATGAAATACTTAGCTGCGGAACCGTAGCTCTTAGGTCCTTATGTTATTTTTGGTCCGCAAATAGTCAAAAAATAACATAAGGACCTAAGAGCTACGGTTCCGCAGCTATGAAATACTTTGATTATCCTGTCAAAAAGTGATTTATCAGGGGAATATAAGTAAGGGGGAGGGAAACCAATGATAATATGCTGGGAAGATCTTATTCGAACCTGTTGGAACTTTACCATATCAATTGAGTAAATATCAGAGGTTCTTGAAAAATAAATCGTATCTTGCCATTGGTTTAAAAACATTTACGTCAAAATGACAATAAGTTATAACATGAATATTGATATATTTGAACTCTATTATTCTAAAATTAAAAGGTCAATACAGTTTTGTTTACTAACTAACGCGTATTAATTACAGCCATGCACATGTTTAAATAGGGATCAAAATAGGCATATATGATTATAAAATGGCAACATTTAAAAAAAAAGACCTTAAATTTATATGTTTCTGTTGTGCACATATTTTTGTACAATATTAACGAATTGATGACAGGTAATTTGCATTCTAACTGCAATGCTCCTTTGAACGTGTCACCAGGTCGTTGTATTTCAACTGTTCGATAGTTCTTAACTTCTGTTACTCTTTAGTCAGTGATGATTATTTCATTTTTTTCGTCTTCATCTTTTATTGACTTTTCTTCTATTAATAAAAGGATGCACTATTTATCTATTTACAACAAAAGCGGCTTGTTAGTATGTGCTTATGACAGCACCTTAGACAACAGAATATTTTATTCCAGTTTTCTATATTTTTAAGGACCACTCTGTATTTGTCAATGTGAAATCATATAATATGTACATAAATAAACATTATTGTGACTTTTATCATTAAAATATATTAAAGAGTTTATAGAAAAAAATCATAAGGGTTCCGCAGAACCCAGTGTCTCGCCTACTTTTAATTGTTGTAATAGTGTTATAGTAGCAGGCTCAACAAAAATGGGGGAAAATTATTGATTTTTTTTCCACTAGATACTATCTTTTTATTCTGTCCAACTGAAGTGTGGTTAAAATCCAGGATGGTTTGAATCTAATAAATGTTTTAAAAACTTTAACTGCAGACTGTATGTAATGAGTGGAAGAAAACTAGGTCCATGTATACGGTATATATAAGTAATATACGGAAAAACAGAAAATAAATTTTTATAAAATTTCCTTCTAGATACTAGCTTTTGATTATTAACAAGCTTCTATCCAAGTTTTAAAAACTTTTAACACACAGTGAATGTAATGTTAACTGGCAGAAAGATTAAGTCCATTAATAAGTAAATACGGATAAACAGGATTTTTTTTACAAAATTTAATTACTTCTGGATACTATCTTATGATCATAAACAAGCTTCCTTCAAAGTTTGGTAGAAATCGATGATAGTTTTAGAAAGTTATTAAAATTTTAAAAACTGTAACCACAGAGTGAATATTTGTGGACGCCACAATGTAGGATCGCTATGTCTCGCTTTTGCGACAAAAGTCGCAGTCTTGACAAAAAGAAGATGTGGAATGATTGCCAATGAGACAACTATCCACAAGAGACCAAATGACACAGAAATTAACAACTATAGGTCACCGTACGGCATTCAACAATGATCAAAGACGTAAATACATATATAGTCAGCTATAAAAGGCCCCGAAATGACAAATGCAAAACGAGAAAACTAACGGTTTAATTTATGTACAAAATAATGAACGAAAAACAAATGTGTAACACAGCAACCAACGAAAACCACTGAATTACAGGCTCCTGACTTGGGACAGGCTCATACAGAATGAGGGGTTAAACATGTTAGCAGGGCTATGGTAGAATATTCCAATATAAGAACAAACCATAAAAATCAGTTAAAAAAGGCCTCAACTCATCAGATGGAATCAAATAGAAATACATCTAACAAAAAACAGACTGTACTATCTATTATCCTTTCATTTATTTAATAAACAGGATAGATCCACCCTTTGAACACAACCTGTGATATTTTAATTCCAGGCGAGGATCCAGTCATTTTGAAAGGGGATTCCGACTCCAGGAACACTCCCTGGATCTGCCGATGATTTCACGGGTTTCATTGTGTTTAGGTCTTTTTTTTCAATTTGAGGAAATAGGCAGTAGAATTATTTGTAGGTTTTCTTAGCGTGGATTTCAATTGTGTAATCTCAGCAGGCAGATGCATGTAATGCCCAAGTCACATTATCCACGATCGCATCACGCTCACCGCGATCTAAAATAAATTCAGGTCGTGGTGAGGTCGCGATAAGAGCGGCATGAAATGTAGATTTTCGTTGTTTTCGCGATGCTACTACGTCCTTGTTACGCTTCTTCAACGATCTTGCTACGATTATACCACGTTCTCACCACGCTTATTCTGCGACCTCACTACGATTATTTCGATCTTACTACGCTTATCACGTTCTCATAACGACCATATCACGATTTATCCGATTGCAACACGATATTACTACGCTTCTTCTGCGATTATAGCACTCTCTTACCACGATCATTCTACGATCTTACCACGTTCATACCGCGATCTAACTACGCCCTCAGCAATAACGTCAACATCATGATCCATATCTGCCAGAACTCGTGGGCGTGGTGGTGGGGGGAAATGTAGTCAGAGGGGCCTCTGGTATGAATCCTGATCCAGTACAGATGTCGGATCAAGCAATCCAACCTGAATCACAACGTATTGCTGATCTATCCAGATCAACTGACGATATTTTATTGAACAAAAGTGGGAATGATACCCACGGGAAATGATACAGATGTATAAAGCATGGTTGAGCTGTTGGATATTAGGTTCATGAGGTCCAAATTACATACAAACAAAACATGGAGAGCTTTTATATATTTTATGTGACAATGACAATGAGCATGGCTAGAACTCTAAATGGTCGTAGTATGAACGTAGTCGGGTCGTAAGACGGTCGTGATGAGGACGGCATGAGCAGTGAGCGGACCCAGAAATTTTCATAAGGGGGGCCAACTGACTGCCTAAGAGGGGGCCCGCTCCAGTCATTCTTCAGTGATTGCCTATATAACGGGCAACCAAATTTTTCCCAAAAAAGGGGGGCCGGGGCCCCTGGTAAACCCTCTAAATCCGCCTCTGATGAGCGTGCTAGAATCGTACTCAGAGTCGGATCCAGCCATTTTAAAAAGAGGAGGGGGGGGGGGGGGGGGGGGGGGGGGGGTTCCAACCACATGTCCCTATTCAAATGCATTGATCGTCCAAAAAAACGGGGATTCCAACCCCCGGAACCCACGTCTGGATCAGCCAATGGTATTATGGTTTTGATCAGCGTAGTATAAACGTGGTATAGTCGTAGCAGAAGCTTTGTTTGGACGCGGGGAGAACGTGATGGTCGTAGTGAGGTCGTAGCGCAATCTCTCGGAATAGATTCGCGCTTACGCTACGCTCTCGCTACGATGGTACAGCGACCATTGCGATCTTACCACGACCTTACTGCGCTCTCATTACGCTTCTACTACGACCTGATTTCGGCACGACCGCACCACGATTGTTTTGAACATGTTCAAAGTTGGCCACGCTCATCAAGATCATGAAGACCTCACCACGACCTTACAGCGATCTTCACGATCGGACTACGATCGTCAAAATTTGCATTTTTTTCAGAGATCGTACTGCGATCGTGGCCTAGTGTGACTGCGGCATAAGGAGCACTATTAACACTTAAAACAATAAGTCAAAAACTCAAATACAAACTGTATGTACATAGTTTGAAAAACTGGATTCCCCACTTTACTTTATTTCGTGTCATTCTTTTTTATGTTTTTGTTCCAAGAACAGAATTCAATCCCTCAAAACAACCAGCTAACTACTTTTTCATGTAGTATGTTTCTGCTTGAACATAACATATTGTGATTAAAAGCACCGAAAACAAATTTTCAAAAGTGTTGGACAGACTGAATATTCCTGGATCATTTGATTCCATTTTATTTGTTCTTGAAAACTGGGACCATTTGTATTAAACCTAGTTGAAAATAATCCAAGTCAATGTCCTATTGAGTTCTCATTCTAATTTTCATTGCCTTTGGTGGCTATTTTGAATTCTCTGTTGACCCAAAATAGTACCTATTGTGAATATGACTGTAATTGGCTGTTATGTTTAGTTTCAGTGAGTTTGCTGGTTTAAGAGGAAGCCTTGATGGTTGGTTATCTTGTCGGAATTATTTTACACTTTGTAATCTTTGTGTCTTTCATAGATTGCTACACAATGCCATACATAACAGTTTCTGTTACCTGTATTTTCTAACACTTACTTTGGTCTCTGGTGGAAAGTTGTCGTATTGGCGATCATACCACATCTCCCTATTTTATATTGATACAGATCCAAGAAAATAGAAGCTACAAGTATCATTCTATTAAACATACAAAATTTCTGAGAAAGGCAATTCTGTACTTTTGGATATATGTTTTTTTTTAATTCTAGACAATTTTAGTCAACTTGAACTTTCACATAGACAGTTAATTTATATGTAAACCTGTCTGTTTTATTTAAATGGTTGACAATATATCATTTATCCATTTCATATCCTTGTGACATTAAAATATTCTGAGCATACATGTAACATGACATGGGAAGAAAGATAGTCACACCTACCAAATAGTTCTTATATTTGGGATATTACATGTGACTGTAAATACTAATATATATGTTAGTATTTTCATGATAACAGGTCTAATAACCATTTGACTTGGTTAAAAAAATTCTTGGATTCTATGAAAAGGAATGCTTTTCCTTTTATATGCAGCTTGAAAATGTTGAGTTGATGCCTATTAGCAATTTTAAGATCTGCCATGTGCAGCTACATCTTTTCCTGGTATTTCAGAATTAGTTGCATGCAGCCACAAAGGTCCAGAGACTCCAGACCTGGTATTTTCAACATCTTTTCTGGTACATGTAGCTCATTTTTACCTGAAAAACAGAAGAGTCATATAGATATTTTGATAATATA